GCCAGGATATTTGCTATATTAGCTGATCTAGGTGGCAGAGGTCTCCATACAGCGCTGCAGATATGCCGACATGGCAGCTGACATGGAAAGCTAACTCTCTAGGGATCATATCAGCCGATACGACAAAGATCTGCGTAGAGGTCTCGGAGCTATTCTACACGTCCAGGATATGCTTCCTGTCAGGAACGGTCATGCTTATGGAGAGTAAGTACGTTATACTGGGCTACCTTAAGTGTCGCAACTGTAATGCTATAAAGAGTTAGCCTCTTGTATAAGCAAGCAGGGAAGAGATAGCTAGATGTAAAGCCAGCTTAGTTAAGAAGGGGTTAAAACCCGACAGGATTATTATAGGGTTATACTTACTGTTGCAGCCACGACTCATCAAGCATAATGAGAACCCGGTTTCCCTGCTTTTCTATCTCTCGCTTTAAGATTTGGAGAATTTTGATGAGTAGCAGACTCTTTGCTGGTAGCTATTGCAGTGCAGTATCCCTTGTCTGATAGAATTGGAGGTCAGGATTTAAGTCGCAAAGCCTAAAGTAAAAAGTTGCAGTGTTATTAGTGTGGCACTCTTTATTAGCAAAGCTGGATATATGCGTGATGCTAGCAGGCTTTGAGGCTAGTTGCTGGTCTGTAGTCTGCCTGTAGACCTTAGGGATATCCTTTGATGGCGAAGCCAGAAGTCTCTTTAAGTGTATCCTGCACTGAGACTTATCACCGCACTACTGAATTATAGATGAGTCTATGATAGCGGCAGATCGCCTATTGAAGACCCTGATGAGCGTAGAGCGTATGTCGCAGAGTGATCTGCCCTCTTTTAAGACATTATCCCTAATAGCTGTGTTGTGATGAGTAAGCTCTTTAACTAGTATGGTAATAGGCCTGAGGCCATTATTCGGAAATAACATGCTGCTATTATGATGGATGAGGGTAGGCGATGGTATGTATGTCCTAATTGCTAGGAGCTGCCAGATGTGCCGGATGATAAGAGAAGATATGCGTAGATCTTACTGCAGTTGAGTACCAGCCAGGACGAAGAGGTTAGGGTTAAGCACCCATAGCTTGAAGCCGGTATTGTGGATATAGTTATTCCTTATGCTAATAAGTTGTGGATCCTGGGTATATCTTATCTGTAAAGAGGCCATATGTGATCTTGCTGTGAATATATTCTCTGACTTGAATGGGTCATATGAGGGGTTATATAACCCGAGGAGGCAGCCGTATCGATTGGAGGCTGCTGTTTACTGTAGGCCAGTGGACCCCTATATGAGGTGGAGGTAGGATTCTATATCCCGGGGACCGTTAGGTGTGGGCGTCGAGGAAGAGAAGATGAATGCCATGTGATTGAGGCAGGAGATATATTTTCGGCATGGACTTGTACTGGATGTGACCCGGTAGGCCTCGTCTAGGATAGTAAAGTGAAACTCTTCTCCCTCTGTATTTAGTATATCCTGCTCGGTCAGATGGTTTGCCTATGTGCAGTATGTGGTGAGGATGATGGTACTTCCGGTCTGTATGATAAAATTGTCAGCCTAGAGAGGGGATAGAAGGTGTAAATGACAAACCTCTGCTTCATGAGGATTAAGGCTTTTGATAAACCGAATAATATGTTCAGCCTAGGAAAGTGGCATCTATAGCCTTGAACCTCTGCGCCGGACTAAAGAAGACTCTGATGTTGAGAGAGGGGTAGTTGTACTTGAGCTTATTATAGATGAGACCGAGTGAGCTGACGTGTGAGGATGATAGATGGCCGGAAGGTTGATGACTTGGATTGCTTGAGATGTCTATTGGCCAGCAGCACTGTAAGGATATATATAGGGATAATATCGGTCCCCTCTGCGCTAGCCAGGACTGTATGCGGTATAGGTTGTTATAATCTCTCTGAAATCTCTGCAGCATCTGTTATTGTTTGTTAGTAGGTATAGAAGCAGGTGGTTAGATAGTTCCATATAAAAGAGGGGGGGTTATGGTTAACGGTAAAGCATAGAGGTAATCGCGCTTTATTTATATACAGTTATTGTAAGGGGTTCAGGACTTACCGACAAAATGATGTACCATGGCATCCAGTGTATTAGGGTTCTCCTTATCCTTAATGGAGTGATAGCTTGCAAAGCCATAGTGCTGGCAAATCCGATCAACACCTTGACAGTAAGTAGGCTGGTCAGGATTAGTAAACTGATCAAGCGCCAGCTGCTTGCGGAGAGCAGCCTCGATATCGCCATTATGGCTAGTCTTATGGGCAATGAATTCGCGAATTATGCCCTCCTGTCTCGCATTGTACTGGTATTTGTTGATACTGTTGCTTATAGTATTAGTGTTGAAGTCGGTTATGGTCTGCGACCAGTTTAGGAGGCCGCCAGAATTAACCCGGATCTAGGATCTTGTTCTTAGCGTCTGCATGATATGGTTCTTGAACTCTGGTGCCATGGGGGACATTGGCTTGTGCAATCGAGAACAACCTGGCAATCCCACCTCTAAGAAACTTCTCCTGATACCTTGGGTTTATTTGGGGCATTCTTGAGCGAAACTCTCTTCCGATCGTCGAAGAGGAGGTAGGTTTGGTGTTGACACTGGATCGCATAGATCTAGCTTGACTGAAATCAAATCACAACCCTGTAATACGAAGTTAATGGAAGTGATATCAATGTTACAAACTCGATCTGACCAGGGATTGTCGAGTTGGGAGTAGCAGGTCTTGCTCTCAAACCCCTGATTTTCCGACTCTATGATGGAAGGCTTCGTCGAAGTACCAAGCGTGCTAGAATCCAAGAGTTGAAAAATTCTTTTTTTCGTTTTTCGTTTTCCCCCTCCACATCTTTTTCTGCTTGCTTGCCTCTATCTGTCTCTGCATTCAGAGATAGCTGCTTGAGTTGGGCTTACAGTTGTAAAGAACCCCGACTTGTTGGATCATTCTATCCATGAGACTCTCCTTTTTCTTTTGAGTGCGCTGTTGCTTTTCAGCCTCGGTCTCTGTCTCTCTGACACGCTGGCGATGTTTCTACGTTTGATCGTGTTCCTTCGCCCGAGTGCCTTTTGGGTCGTTCGCCAAATTGCGTTGGTGTGCATCCCATCATGCCGGGTAGTGATATATGCCGGGTAGTGATATCACTACCCGGCATGATGGACGCGAGGGCGTGGTTCACTCGATGATCTCATTCGTCGAGATAGAATTCTTCGGCGTCTGAAATTTCACGTAAAAGTGTATCCAAATCTTCTGGATCGACCATAGAAGCAATGGCATCTGTGAGAGCGTGTGGTTGCCGACTCCAGATGGGATACAAGGTCGTGTATAAAAAGAAGATATCTCCGAGACAAGGATATGCAGATGACTGATAGCGCGATCGCATTGCCCAGTTAACCAATTCTTCACAGGATAATCGTGACCTCGTTTTCTTATGAGCACATCGAATCTCTGTGAATGGAGTCCTTGATAGCTACCTGCGCGTCGATCGCGTCCCTCTCTTTATTCTCGGTTCAAAGCTCTTGGTCACTTGGTTGAGGGACACAAGACTGACCATCCAGTTCTTATCGTAGGCCAGTTCGGTGAGTTGTGTGTGATTGATAGATCTGGTTGTCATTATAGATAAGATCGCTCTGAGAGCTGCTGGTTGATATTGAGTTCTCTGCTTCGATTGCCTTTATGGCCGTCTGACCTTCGCTTACTGAATAGGGCCGGCGTTATCTTTGGAGTTGCTGTAGATAGAGGCAGGAGACCAGCCAGCCATGAAGGACTTGGCCCGCTTGCACTCCAGGTTCCAGCCTTTTTGACTCTCCTTGGCGTCTTCCCTTTCAAGCTCAATTCTACAGTCGTGGCCGTTGCCCAATTCATCCAATTCACCAATTTGATCCCTAGCAGGTTCCTCTTTAACCTTAGGATAAAAGCCGGGTTGATGAGTGTAGGACAACGTTGTTCGGGATCACCTCATTGTTAGTGTCGTTTTGGTTGTCGACGACTTCCTCCGTCGACGCCCTCCGTCATCAGCGCAACTTCAGTCTAAAGCGCTAGTTCTTATCCTACGGATTTCTCGACCCTATCTTCAGCCTCTGCTTGTTCATCTTTGCGGTTCTCCTCGTCCGATTTCTGTTTCGCTTTGGGGGCGCTGTCGCGGACCGCTGGATGGATAAGTGGACAGTCGAAGATGCTTCAGTGGTAATTGGCTCAAAGGGCTTCCTTTGGGCCGCATCGTGATTTGCCATGGGTACAAAGTCTTTGATAGCGACGGTGCTTATTTTGGGGTTCTTTCTGGCTCTCGCAGCCTTCTGCTTGGCCTCGTTTCTGGCAATTCCTCCCACACGGCTTGAAGACTTTTGCTGGGTGTGCTGTGGCTTGTAGCGAGTATAAAGATACTGCAGTACGCTATGTCGTGGACGACTATTTCGGCGCCGAGGAACCGTTGTTCCTTTTCCCTGATGGGTTCTTCATTGCAAAATTGAGAAGACTTTGTTCCCATGGCTCACTTGAAGCGACAATACTTGATGGGATGAATCAAGTATGGGTCTGTCGGTGATGTCCATCGTCAGGTCCGGCAATTCACAATCGGTTTCTCTTTGGACTTCCTCTCGGGACTGATTGTCGTCGAAATACAATCCCAAGGTTGGCAGGTGAAACAGCTCGTCTGAGTAAACAAGGTGAGTCCATGGCTGGAGAATAAAGCCCATACCCTGAAATGCAGTAGTGGACAGATGCTTGATTTGGTCATTTCCCGGTGTTCATGATTGGGGTAATTGGGTGCAGAGTAGAAACCTCAATCAGCAAAATGGTACTGCCAAAAGGTCAAGAGGTTGTGCTTCAAGGCTTTTGCCTCATAGATTCTCACTCCTTCCGATTGCGATCCTCGAAATATCTCGTGTTGTTTCTCAATTGACTTGATCGCCTCCTCCAGTGGATCATTCTAACTGTTTAGATCGGCAAGAACTTGCTTGTTCCATCTTGCGACCCGACCTTCTGATCTTCTGCAGCACCTCCCAAAGAATCTTTTCCTCCGTATTTTCTGAACTAGTCAATGTTCCGAATATCCATCATCGTGGTTCAGGATGTGCTTTTGTGTAGAAGATGCGGGAGCCTCCTCATCCTGAGAGGCCACTGAGTCTGGAATGGCCACAGCAGGACTGGTACTGTTATACAATACCGCCATGTAGGAGGTCCCACTGGTGATGATGTTAACGATACCTTCGTCAGGGCACTCTTGGATTAAGTCACGCAGGGGGTTAAGGGCGGTTCGTGTCTTGGGACCGTTGCCCTTGGACGAGAAAACAGCGAACATAGCTCGCTTGGCAGCAGCGAGAGCCATTCTATCCGACTCACTAAGGCGAGTGGACGTTACGGCTAGAGACTTTTCCCCTTTGGACTCCGCCTTGGCTCCACAGTCTTGACCTTCGTGGTCTTCACTTTCTTCGCAGTTCCCTCCCCAGACTTGTCAACTGGTTGAAGGGGGGATGCTAACTGGGATAACGGGGATTGTTGGCTCGGCAGCCGTGGCGTTGCGGTTGCGCTTTCTGTTGTGTTCTTTTTATGGACCATCTTGCCGAGAAGACTGTAGTTAGCACTTCTGATCTTGTTAGGAAGAAGCTTATGGCGGTTCAGGTGGTACACTCAATGGCAATATTATAGCACGCATGCGGATGCTGAGGAAGGCTCTGGTCTGACATATCGGTCAGGATCTGCGCTGCCTTTTCACGCTCATTCTGTGTGGGTGGGGGGGATGATAGTCTCATTTGATCAATTGTAGGGGATGGCTCTGCTGAGCAGAGGGAAGAGGCGTCGCTCAGCAGATCAAAGGGGCCTCGGAGAGCCACTAAGGAAACTAAGGAGCTATCTTTGGCTCAAGACCAGCAGGAGGTACAACCCCAACGCACGCAATGCCACCGCACAGACTGACACAGCATAGAAAAAGAAGCCGAAGTTCCACTTAAAGCCGGAAGATACAGAGATACACTTGACCGATGAGTCTTTTTGCTTCGTATCAGTTTCGGTTTCCGCCGACTTGAAAGCCTTGGGAGAGTTGGCATGTGACCGTACTTTCTTTCTGATATCATCGGCAGTGGTCGTCTTCCTGTCCGTAAATTGTAAAACACATGTCGGTAAGTGTTTTAGGACCTCGTGCTTGCAATACGAAGCTCGTTGGTGAAAGAGAGAGAAGGGATAAGGCTTCCAGAAATAACGTCTCGCTAAAGCTCAATTCAACCCCTTGGACGGTTTTCTTGTCCAGTTCCTTGGCTATATTGACATACGCCCAGGATGAGTTGTGGTAGATTATGCATCCGGGCAGTGACATCAAGAATAACGGTCGCTGGATGTCCTAACAATCGCTCAGATCAACTTTTCTCTTCATCGCCAGCATGGCATAAAGTGACTTGGGCCATGTTCTTGGCCAGCTTGAGTACGAGTCCGATTGTTCCCAGTGCCTTGATAGCCGGACACGTCTCATAGGGATCATGTCGTTGAGGGCTTACAGGTAACGCCAGTCTTGGCTCATTTGATGACGAAGGATCCTTGCTCATATCTTTGCACAGATGTGATCCTGGTCACCCAAAGGTTGAGACGCAGAGAGATGAGTTCGATAGCGTGAACCTTGAGTTTGTCTTTTCGTGATGTGAATTATTCCTCTGTCGTCATTAAAAGATCGTAGAATGTGGGCCAGCGATGGTCTTTACGCAGTGTTCAAATTATGAGTAGTCTTTTCCGCGTCCATACGACACTAGGTCTCCCTCTGGCACATACACTGATCAGATGGCCTTCGACAAACTTTGAAGTTCTCAGCTATGAACTGGCTAGCATGCTTACTGCTTGGCAGCATTACTATGATCTTCCTTTTGTCCTACCCCGTGACACTCATTCTCGAGGCCTCGTCATCTGTGAGTGCACAGAAGTTGCGCCGGGCAGACAATGCAGTACGGATGAATGCTGGTCACAGTTGGAGTCTCTTCCAGTTGATCATCGTGGCCGCAAGACGCCAATAAACATCTTTAACATTTCGGTGGTGCCGGCGCTGGCCTCAGGTCGCTGGCGGCGCGCCTCGGCCTCCTTACTCTTCTTCTCGAGGGGGCTCAGGGACTTAAACGAGTCGTCAACGGAGGGTCGCAGCAGGGGCTTCTTCTTGCAGGTGGTGCAGGTAGATTTAGACGGTCAGACAGTGGTGCCCAGGAGCGACTTCACGTTCCGGTTCGCCAGGAGCTAGGTTAACCGGATGATAGGGGACGTCATATCGAGGTTGTATATATTTCAGGTTGAACTGCACAGCGGGTCTGTTAATAGAGTTGCCTGTGCGGGAGCGGAAGGCCTTCTCATGGGGTGCACTGACAGTAAGATAGGCGTGCAACTTAGACAGGTAGGGTTTGAGCTTAGGGCCGATGCCCTTGGGCATCCCCAGGCCGCAGGTATACACGGTCATAGGTGGGATCCCCTTTGCCCGCCAGGTAAAGGTTCCATCTGAAATGATCAATATGGTTTGAAAACAACTGGCAGGAAGACTCGGGTTCGAGTATCAACATTGAGCTTTGGTCTTTGGTTGATGGGCGGTAGAGTGAACCCACGGAACAGGTTGGCAATGGGAAGGTTTTATGTGAGCTCCTTTTCTATATGAAAGGCTTCATCAAGCTTGACGATCTTGACCAATTGTGGCTTGATGCGTTCAGAGCATTTTTGTAGCTCTTTTGAGCCGCTTTTTCATCATCAAGCCTCTGCCCCCTGAGGTCCTCCAAACGTTGATGGAAGACCTCCAAGGTTTCCGAGTCGGAAGGGCCCTTCCATAAGCTGGCCATACAGCCCTGATCTCCCCAGAAGCAGCATCGTAGCGCTCCGGTAGATTCAGACGCGTCACGATATTGTCCAGTCGCGAGAGCCATGCGCTTGAGATATGGACCGTTGAATAATTTCTCAGGACAGACCAACCATCATTTCTATGTGGTTCAATTGAGCTGAAGTAATGTCGATTGGTTAAATATGAAGTCATGTGACTCCTGTGGTGAGATGGTGAGATGGTGATATAAATGCTCTACCATCCTCGCAGAAGCTAAAGCAGCCCGATTCGCCGCCCAGAAGTGCGTGAACCGCTTCCTCACTCTTCTTCTATTTTTTGAACTCCATCTCAGCATCATAGTGCTTCCTTTTCCCAGAGATCGTCAAGAAGTCTTTGTAAATCTGAAGAGTCGACCTGATTTTTTCTGAGAATCTTTGTGATATTTGCAGACATTTTGTGCGAGGACGAGGTTTCGGGTAGAAAGAGCTAGGAGAAGGATGAACCACATTAGTAGGTTTGCTCGCGCTTCCAGCTTTTCTATCTTGAAACGAGTTCCCTTGTGACATGACACTAATCAAGTCATGGAAGCTTCCATGTCAACGCTCTCCGTCTCGGTGCCGCTGATGAAATCAGAGAACCGGCGGACATTTTCTCAAGGTTCGTTGTTTGGACAACGTGTTGGGGAGAAAGTAATCCGTCTGGGAACGCCCCAAGATGATGGATGGATGCGACAAGAGTGATCTCCTCTCCATGCAGCCCTGTGCAAGTCTTTGTCTGTGAGGATGTAACCGAAGCCTAGACACACCTTGCTGTTCGTTAACTGCAGCTTGGCTTGTCCAGGTATAGCTTCCCTGGTTACAGCTTTGATGCTAGAAGTAACAGCATCGGCTTCGTGCTGGTACATGCAGAGTTTCTGGGAAGTTGGCCTTCGCTTTGTAGTAACGCAGGGAATCATTCCATGCGGCGGGGTGTGCAAGGGTATAAGGATAGTTCCGATTGTCGCAATGTATGCGGTCGGTACTTAGGTGAATTCCGGTGTAGAGGTAGAGTCATGCTGTCCAGCTGAAAAATAATGCTTGGGAGGAGCAACCAGGTTGGCCTGTTGTTTGTCTTTTCGCATGTTGGCTGGAGCAATAAGGCTGTCCTGGTTGGCGTTCTTTCGCACCGCTGCCAGGGGAAGTGCGAAGTGAATCCCGCAGCTCAGGCTCGAAGCCGGGCATTATGGATGTCCAGTCAAAGACACCAAGACAGACGAGTCTTGATTGTCATGATATCTTCCATGGCCTTGGCCGCTGGTTTGACGATGTGCAAACTTGGGCAGGTGGGAGAATGTAGGCGGAGTTGGTAGAGGGCAGGAAACATAGGCTCATTGCACAGATGAGAGGGGTGATGGTCATGCGACAGAGCGGCAGTGTCCTGTCCATGAAATAAATGTGGTAAGGTTGTGATGTTAGAAGAGTTTTCAGCCCCAACACAGAGGCAAAGAAGACAAACTAACAAGGTGGGCAATATATTCGTTGTCCTCCGGTGCCTGATATCTTGCCTTTGGAAACCATGAGATCACGGTTACTCAGCAAGGGCACAAAGCTGTACAGAACGAGACTGGCATCTGCCGATACCATCAGTCCGCTCGTACATTGAGGGGGGGCAAAGGCACTCCAGGTCGTAGGGGAGTGATGAAGGAGAAGATATCATGAAAGGGGATGTTGCTTTGATACCAGTACTGCCGGCACTGGAGGTGAACTTGATACTCTACCAAGAAGACTCGTCTAAGTACGAAGGTGATGAGAAGGCAGGACAAGGTGACAGGTGGGGAAATTGGTGGACTCTGGAGAAAAAGAGAAGGAAAGGAAATGGAAGGAAGGAACGAGTATTTGAGATAGAAAGTAGCAGTGCCTCGCACGTGATCAGATTGTCTTTGGGGAAACTGAGTCGTCATAGTGATTTCTGTAAGTCATATCTGTTGGATCCCGCGGTTTTCATCACTGATATGATACTCAACATCCACGCGTGAGGGCATCTAGCTTCCCCGTCCCGAGGGCGAAACGTGTGATCCGATGCCTACGCACATTATGTTCACTAATTTAATACATAGAATTCTCTAAGACTCCATTGTTGTTTGGTGCCTCGTCATCATGTTTGCGCTGTATCCGACGGGTGTTGACCTCCCCTAGGCGGGAGTCTGCATATCTGCCCACGCTTCCACCACCAAACGTCAAATTGTCTGCGCGCACCGAAGCTGGACTTACCCCCGATACCAAACGTCTCTCCCGTTACGTGATTCATTTTCTCGGGTCGGGGAAGCCTTCCGTAGCCGTGCCAAAACATGATATTCTCCCGCCGTTGTTACTTGTGGTTACTCTACATCTCGCCATCCCTCCACTGTATCGAGAATCTTCTTGGCATTCTCCAAAGCCGTCTTCTCCGTTGAATCAATCATCAAACCGGGATATCCTTGAAACCTAAACAGCTCACACCGCCCCCTCATATCTCGCAGAAGCTCCTGGTCGAGTAACTTGGTCGTGCCGCTCGCCAACCTCTCCGCGTTGTCTACCCGTTCAATGTTTGCCTCAATCCCACAGGTCAAGTACACGGGAAGAAAGGGGAGGTTTGCATGCCTTGCAGCGCTTGCGTACTCTTGTGCAACACTTTGACCCAGCTCGTTGTCCGATTGAAAGTCTAGGGAGTGTGAGCATTAGCTAGATGATGACACGGAGGAGGGGGTGTACCTGTGAAGACGACGAGACGGTCGTGGCTGGAAGGATGGCGTACTACTCTTTGTAAGATAGCCTGGCGTAATTGCTTTCGCCGGACATTGTAGTCTAGGTGGCCTCTGGAGAGTACTGCGTCTACGGGATCGATCAACTTGTGGTTGTCTAGCACCATGATGTTGGGGTCCAGTTGCTTCATGGCGTCGGCGATGGTTTTCTTTCCAGTACCTGGGAAGCCGTTGATCCACACCACAGGTGCTCTTATTGCGGTCGGCATCGTTAAATGCGATAGGGGATATGACCATGGGTTTTGGTGTGTATCCGGGGGTTCGTGAAGACTGCAATTATATCGATGACAATGAGACAATTGGATGGATTCGACTCGCAATTCAGTGATCTTATCTACTCCTTGTAGATTTTTATTATAAACTATAAATGGAACATCTGAAGCTTGGGTTGGCTATCATGAAAGCCGTAAAAAGTCAATATTGCTGGACTCGAAATTATGCAGAACTTGACTCGTAAACTCAGCGCATATCAACCTTGAATAGGTATTTGCAAATACAGCACCAGACGATTTAACTTATTATCCCTCAATCGGTTTAGTACTGAAGGCAGCAGTGAAAGTCAACTTTGGTGGGAGGTGGGGGAAATACTGTTCACCCCTCAACATGGTCCCATTCAGCATGATCGCACTCGATTGACCCGACAGTTTGGTTCACCCTGGTCCCAATAATCTGCATTCCACTCACATCTCATCTCATCTTATCTGAGCTGCCAATCCTGCAAAGATAGAACATGCAGTGAATAGAAATAAACTGAAGACATTCGATCTGATAAATTTCTTGAATATTTATATGATGATCCTGTTCTTTGATATGGCCATGGGAGTTGAGGCAAAGGGTGTCGCTAGCTGAATTAGGCCACGCCCACTGGCTTCGTAGAGGGTACAGGGTAGTCGGCCACCAGTGTAAGACAGTGTGTTCTTCTTCAAATCCATGCCTTCACACGTAAAAAGTGCCATTTATTTAGCGCAGCAGGTAGTCAGTTTACAAGGTTGCGATATCAAAGCCCATTCTTTTCTGGCACAGTACCTGGGTCTGCTCACAAGCCGCAGCCAGGTCTTCCATGGGCAATAGGCTTCAGTTCAACAGCAGGTTTTGAAGTCGTCCGCGACTCAGATTACGTTGTCACGGATACCAGCTTTGATGGACTGGCTTGACTAAGAAGAATCTCAACAAATTTTTGTTGATGTCATTCCGGTCGGATGGCACTGCATGACTCGTGTCGTCGTCAGAGAGATTCTTATCTGTTAGTGTCATCTCAACTCAAACCTCATACGCCAAGAGCCACGATCCAACGTCAGATTTCGATAACAATTTAATGTGAAGCCGATTATTCCACTTCTCACTCACTTGAGATTCTCTACATCTCTCACTTGATCTCTTCTTTTATTATATGTTATTTCACTAAAGCACACCGTGGAAATGGCACTTAATCGAGTTGCCCCCGAGATTCTTCTCGAAATCTCTAACCACGTCGATCATGAAGATCTGCGAAAACTTTGCGCCGTATCTCATCGTCTAATGTCAACATTTGAGCATCAAACCTACTCGACCATTGAATTAAACGAAACTTCAAAATCTGGAAGTGCCTTGTTGGCCCTCGCATCTGGACCTCGAAGGGATATTGTTCGCGAAATTCGATACAAACCTCACCATCCTTGGCCAGCTCGTGACAGGAGGCACAAGCCTGAGATCAAGCTCAGTGATGAGACTCGAACAGCACTACAATCTCTCAGCTCTTTCCCGTCCTTGGACAAGTTTCAGTTCGACCTGAGTCACTGGGAGTTATCAGAATGGGCTCTATCACCACAGTGTCTGAATCGATGGGAATTTCATCTATGGCACGGAAAACATGATACAGAACCTTGGAGAGTTCTTATTGAAGAGAGTCTACTGGCGTTAAGCAAAAGCGCTGGTTCCTTTTCTCGACTCGAGATCGATAGTCTTCCGCCAACTGGACGAGAAACATATCGTGCATGTGGGTCAGAAACGTGGAAAGATCTTCTTAGACACTTGACGTCGTTTGAGATGACGCTTGCTGGTGTCGGACACATGGGACATGGGGGGAGCTACATGTATGGAAAGATGACTTCAGCACACCAGGCGTTCATAACTCTTTTCCCCGAGATGTTTCTGGAGAATTTACATAATGTTCAGGTCTTACGATTCACTGGGAAGGCGAACGCAGTCATGGGCAATGAGCAACTCGTGGAACCCATAAACTGGGCATCTCCATTTATCAATCTACCATGTCTAACAACATTAGAGCTGGATTACTCTCAGATCTCGAGCCAGCTCGTTGCCTTTCTTTCCAAACATGCAGGGACAATTGAGAAAATCAGTCTGCGGAACTGTATAGCCCCAGCCAAGCAAATATGGATCAACATCATCAACCTCTTCCTTGAACGACAGCCTAAGCAACTACTTGAATTTACGACCACAGTGCTTCCAGTGCATAAACGCATCGGAGACCCTTTTGCTGATCACTCAGACGGGTCGGATGTTAAAATGAGGAGGTTCGTGGTTGGACTGGCGAAGCACGATATCGCACCTGTGGAGGAGTGGGACGCCGTGGGTGATAATGATCCTGAACTTGACGAGTCTGATGTTTGCAAGTTGTGGGGTCAACTTGAGGAGATGTTGGAGCGTAATAGGTGCCATGCACGAGGCTTGTTGCAGGAAGCTAGCCGTTGCAATCAACCATAAAGCCATCATGAGCGAGTTGCATTGGTCTCTACTTGCACGAGTTGCTTGGGTCTCGAGTATTATAAGTTTCTAGTACATACTTCTAAATATAGCCATTTTATCATAAGCACAAACAAGCATATAGACTAGGTATCATCGCTAAACCCAGAAATACAAACACCTTGATGTAATCACCCGTCCCATCTCGGCGCATTGATGATCAGTGCCATCAAACAGCCCGACATGACTCCTGTCACGGGCAATGTGATTAACCAACCCATGTAAATCCAAAGCACAAGCTTCGGATTAATACATCTCCAATCCCCATTCGCCAGCCCAACGCCCACCGTAGCTCCCGTGATGCACTGCGTAGTAGATACGGGTAAAGACAGCCTCGTCGCCATAAGCACGGTGATTGCACTCGCAAGCTCCATGCAGAAACCGCGACTTGGCGAAATAAGTGTCAAACGATTGCCTAGCGTCCGCATGACGTGGTAGCCGTACGTCAATAGTCCTACCACGATACATGCGCCGCCTACGACGAGGATCCAGATCGGTATGGCGACGAATTGGGGGATTTCCCCGCTGGACCACACTTGATATGCTGTTGTGAACGGGGCTACTGCGTTACTGACGTCGTTTGCGCCGTGGACGAAAGACGCTGTTGCGGCGGTGAGGATCTGGAGTGCGGAATACATGTACTCTGCACGGTTGTCATAGTGCGCTGATCGAGCATGCATGTCTTCCAAGTCCCAGTTGAGGATGTTGTTCCGCTTCTGCATTGCCACCACGTCCTTCTCCAGTCCGCGGAGTAGGACCCGGTTCACTTTCCATGCCATTACTTTTGGACTGTTCCATGAGCCGTCGGGTCGCGGAGGTATGAATTCTGATGAGGCGCGAGGTTCGAAGCGGCCTGGGGGTGTTTTGGGGGGTGTCTGAGCTGGCGGTGGGAGAATCCATTCATCGTCGCGGTCGAGATCTGGTAACTGGCCATCTGGGGTCTGAATCGACTGAAGAAGAGTCTCGGAGGTACGTAGATGGTTGAGTTCCTCCCGCGTGAGATGCCCCTGGTAGTAGTCTCTGATGCGAGGCTTGGTGAATCCAGCTGGAGTCGGCGGAGGTGGTGATCGCCAGAGGAGAAGTGGTCCTTGAAAGACATGATACCATTTGAGAGTCCAATCCTCGTGCATTATTCTCGTCCATAGAAAGGGCAGTAGAAAGAAGATTTGGAGGAGAGTCATTCCAGTAGCTGTCGCAAAGACTGAGATGACGATATCTCGAGTAGATAGGTTGATAGTATGGATCCCTTTCCAGACGAGAAGCATTGTGAGTGCACCTACTGTCAAGTAGGTATAGAATGGGATGGAGTAGAATGCCCTCCTGACAGCTGTCTGTTTCGTCAAGATGAAGTTTTTGGTGAACATGAACAGCACAAACCCCATACAGCCCGCGATCAATGGCGCAATGATCCACGCCGCAAAGATCTGCGACACGCCATGCCAGCCCCAATTGATCCTCATGATGCCTATCGATGCCGTGGCAGCTCCAACGAGTCCTCCAATAAGCGAATGTGTGGTCGAGACGGGTAATCCGTGTCGAGTCGCAAAGGTCAGAAAGAGTGAGGACGACATGATAGTGCACATCATGACAAGAAGTAGAACGCCGGGTGAACTGTCGTAGTGATGAGGGTCGACAATCTTTGTTCGGATGGTATCTGCTACTCGAGACCCGACTGATACACTGCCACTGAATTCGCAAACTGCGGCCACGAGCATTGCTTGCTTCATGGTCAGCGATCTCGAAGAGACCGACGTCCCAAAGGAATTGGCAACATCGTTGGCGCCTACAATGTCAGCATTATTCAACAAGATACTCGAAATACTCACCAATGTTCCAGGCATCGAGACAGGCAAATATAACAGTAAGAGCAAAGATATAATCATACTGATGAAGCACCGCCATCTCATTCGGGGTAATAGCAATAATAGAATATCAAGAGTTTAGCTGCTGTCTCCACGACAGCGATGTTCTCAATCCATGACCAAGACAAGACAACCATCAACAAAGGTCGATAAGCACTGGTCAAAGCATACATAAGCTGCAGTCGACGATCGTGGGTCCCAAGCTCCCTTTAAACACCCAAAGGACTGGTTAAGCTATCCGCGCTCCCGCAAAAAGTGTGCGTCCTTGCGAAGCTATGATTCGATAGGCGAGATGCCAGACCCGATCTTGGCTTTCTCTGGTGAAGAAACGGGCGATGCAGGGGGTGAAATTGATCGAATTGAGGACCGAGCGAGACTTATCAAAGATGCCGTCGTGATTTGGGGGCTGTGGTGGTGAAGATGTTTGATGGGCCAATGATAGGATTAGGATGGAGCACGAGGCTGGTGAGAGACGCGTGTTGAGGCGATACTAAGAAGGATGATACAATTCAAGAGACTTGGCGGTTTAGAAGCTAGCAAGGAGGTTATTTCAACGGAATCGACGGATATTCAAGGCTTTTCTGTGCCATTGTGGCGCGTATATCATGACTTCATCCTCGCCTGGTTTGAGTGAAGCCATTTCATCACCACCACAATAAGGCATATCTACCAACACCTCCACGAATAAGCATGTCTATAAAATGAGTCAACTTCTCAGACAATGATCTCACTGCGGTCCTCACCGAGACAGCAATCGAAGAAAGATATCACATCACTTCGATATCCTTGACCGAGCTCAGACGTCGGACTAACAACGCCACACCTACATATAGACACCGTCGATAGTATCCTAGCGTCTCGGCTACTTCTTTGTTTGCAGAACCCCTTGTCTTGAGGCTCCAGGAACAGCCTTAATCCCACGTGCCATTGAAGCCACCCGATCGGGCGACCGAAGCGGCCGATATTATGGGACGATGTGTCAGAGGTCAAGGCGGTTCTTGACTTGGCGGGTGCCTCCGTCAAAACTTGTGACTGTAGCAGTGTAAAGTCTATCAAGGTCCCAAGGAGAAGAAGCGAATGTGTTGATGAGGAAGTTCTCGTGATATTTTTTTATTCAGGGGCAAGCTAACCAACATTATTCTGCTACGGAAACAGAATTCTCGGCTTTGCTAGAAGTAATTAGACTAAGCCATCTTCATTATGTGAGCTATTGGAGGTGTTCGGCCCAAGCACCTCTACTCCGCAAGTCGTAAATGAAGCCATCACCACTTCAAAAGATACGTACCTCTCCATCCCGATCACTCTCCACTTTATGACCGATCAATCATGTCAATCTAACCTCGGCCCGTCTCTTCCCCGATCCCATCTGCGTCACTTCCTCTATCAATTCGCCATCGCATTCTCAATATCCAAACCACCGCAACTCAATCCCACCAAACAAACCACTTCGCGCCTCAAAACCCACACTCAAACACAAGCAACAATGTCACGCCTTCTTCCCCGACGCATCCTCCTGACCCCCCTCCGCACAACCCGCCTCTCCTCGACCTTCCAGACCCGCCCCTCACCACCAAAACTCCCCGCCGATCAACAAGCGGAATTCGAGCGTCTCCAGCGCGCAGCCTCCGTATCATCTGCCTTCCAGCCCGAAGAAGCATCACCTGCTGCTACTACGCCTGCTACGTCGCAGGTTCGTCACACAACCACCCCCGAAAAGACGGATGATGTGAATGTTGGCTTGTTCCGTGGTGCGCCGCCTGAGTTTGAGGGTGACAGGAATCCCAAGACTGGAGAGGTTGGAGGTCCAAAGAACGAGCCCTTGAGATGGGGTGGAGAGGGCGACTGGTCTTACAATGGACGAGTTACGGATTTCTAAAAGTCATCGAAGCTGTGCCTTCAAAAAGGGAATTTGGTTCACCATGTGGTGGCAATTGTACAAAATTGTATCAAAATTAGACAAGGCGATTTAGACTCAAAGGCCAACGCCTTCTGATTAAATTTGTTATTATCATAAGAGGGGTATTCTAATGCTACAAGACCTCGGTTTCTCTGCCCTGCAATGCAATGACACCAACGCCTTTAATCAACGTGATAAATCGTGACGACCAGGTCATCGATCCGTCTTCTCCTCTGTGGCTGGAGTTTCGGCGACATCGTCCATATCCACGTCCTGAGCCTTTTCTTCGCTCTTTTCTTTTTCTTCTTCGTCGTTTGCAGATGACTGATTCTCCTTGTCGGCTTCTGCTACGGGATCATTAGACTTCGATGTGGATGGTTCAGGCTCCTTTTTTCTCCATGTGGCAGATATTCCTCCTCTTAGTTGTCCTTCTTTGTCTTTGTCGAGATCAGGGCCGTTGTCAACGCCCCATTTGACCTCACGCATAGCTTTACGCATGCGCTCACGTCGAGCTTTGCCGCGAAGTCGAGCCTGTGGTTGTGCGCCGTTCTCAACCCATCGTACACTCTTGATCATATAACTGATGCCATCGTGAACCGAATGACGATGACCGTAATCGCCACCAAATTCCCGGCTAGAGATCCCATGTCGTGTGGAAGAGTAATATTTGACTAATCGAGGAAGGATCAGGACGTTGACGTGCAGATCGCGTTGCGCAGGGATCGACATGGGGCCGCTGGGTGGAGGGGCGATGATAAGGTCTTCGGATTCGAGATCGACAGTCGAGTTCGCTGGCTTCTTACGTCGCTTGTCGGTGACTCCCTGATCAATGTCCAAAACCGAGTTGTCAACGTCCTCAGCCCATTCTCCCTTGATCCAGCCACTGTGGATGCACGCCGCAACAACATCAGAATCGTCGGTATAAACGTCAGTGCCCCATAGATATCCTCGTGAAGTGATCTCTTCCCTTGCGATTGACGAGAGATGAATTCTTGCGACCTTGACTGTTAGGATGCAATTCTCCTTGTTCTTAATCATATCCCATGGCAATGGTTTCGGGTTGGAAGCAAAAGCTCGGTGTGTAGAGGTACTTGGTACCAAACGCCCAGGTTTCAGTCCGGGATCGTAGATGAAATCTCCAAGGTGGTGCCTGGGTCGGTCAGAAACGGACTCCAAGACAGCCTTCGATGATATAATGGTTTTCGATTTCGGGGGAATAACCGGGGCCGAGTTGATGGCAGCTTGTTTCGCTGGCTGGTGCTGGTGTGTATGTACAGGTCGCGGAGGGTGGTGATGATGAGGAACAGGTAGGCCCTTTTCACCTGGAGGAGCACCAGTCTTGAAGTTCTTGAAAGGCGCAGTACCAGTTAATGGCGCGGAGTCGGCTGGATGATGATGGTGGTGATGCGGGTGACTATTACGGTCAGCGAAATCAAGAGAAAACGGCAAGCCAACGTACTGATGATGATGGTGATGCTGGTGAGTCTTGGGACGCTTTGCCCTGTTTGCTGGAGTTGCTCGTCCTGAGCTGTCATCATCGCCCTTTCCATCATCGTCCTTGAGCTTCCTTCTTCTGCCTTTGGTGGCCTTGCCTCCTGCCTCTGTTCCTGAATCGGGTGTTATGTTCTCCGAGTCCTCGCGCTTAGCGAGACTTGCATTTGTGAAAGGCATGGCTGTAGAAGCGATGGGACTTGAGACGCCCATGACTCCATTGCCAATACCCGCAAACATGCGACCGAATTCGCTCTTGATTCCCGGCTCGCCAGTTGGTCCAGGTTGCTGTAATTGCGCGCCCTGTACAGCTTGTGGGAGTGGCGAGATTCTACCCTTTCGGTTCATCTCCTGGATGGCTAACAAGTTACGCTGGCCGTTCGGGGCTGAGGCATCGTCACTAGTCCTATGTCGTGGGGAGTCATATTGGCCAGGGCCATGGGCTCCATTGTACGCAATTGTTGGTGGTGGTGGCCCTTCCTCTGGCCTTCGATGGGGATGTTGCGGTTGTTGTGTAGGGATTAAAGTCATACGCGCTCGATCTGGGGACTCGTAAGGTGCCGGTCCAGGTGGCATATTCTGAGCTGGCGGATGTGAGGATGGCGCGTATCGATCGGGTGGGGGCCCTTGATAAGAGTGACCATGAGGCGGATAAGGCGCGCCAGGGGGGTAATCGGGATGTCGCTGATGATCCATGGGTGCTCGATAGCTAGGGTCAGGGCCTGGCCGGCCCCATTGTGCATCCCTAGGATCCCGTTCTCGCATGTCTCTAGGATCACGGTTTTGGGGATCACGAGGGTCTCGGGGATCTCTGATGTCCCTCGGGTCACGATCTGGCGGTCGGCCATAAGGTAAAGGATTTCGAGGTGGTTCGCGGTGCCCATAGTCGCCGGGATGTATCGAGTGTCTTCCCGAATCGCTGCCAGAGTATGCGCGCTCTCTTCTGTCGCGTTCACGTTGCTCTACTTCACCCATTCGCTCGCGTTCTGCCCTGTACCGATCCTCGTACGGATTGGGTCGCAAACCAACTCTTTCAGGGTTGTATTCCATGCCAGGCGGAGGTCGGCCCATCTCATCACGTCGCCCATATGCTTCTTCTGGCCCTGGCGGTCGTCCCATCTCCATCGGTCGAGGCATTCCCGGATACTTAGGCTGGCTGCTCGGCCTTGGGGGAGGCCCTGGTGGTAACCTGCTAGGTTCTCTTGCATGATCTGCAGAGCCTGAAGGGTGCCTTGAATAGGCAGAAGGTGTGCTGTAGCGAGGGACTTCGGGGGTGGGGTAGTGTCCAGGCGGTGAGTTTCTGGGCTCGTAAGGTCGCTGATGATCGGGAGTGTGAGGTCGACGAAATGGCGGGTAGCTGGAATTTGCAGAGTGCATTCGTGGTGAAGCATGCACTGCCGTCGCGAAGCCAGGACCAGAGACGGGTGGCCCAGAATGAGGAGGATAATGCGATGGCGGAGGTTGCGATTCGCGCATGGCTGGAGGTGGACCGCCCAACATTGACGATATCGACATGGAGCTGTTACTGCTGCCTGATCTCGCCAGCGCGCCGAGGGCAGGAAGTTCGCGACCTGAAGGAAAAGCCATCGGGGGGCCGACAGCGACAGGAGGGCCAGGTTGCGGAGGAGGAGGCCCGTAGCCCATCATGCTGTGCACCTGTTGAGGTTGAGTTTGCGGCGGCTTCGCCCCCGGTTGTGGAGGCGACGTCGGAGGGGGCATTTCGCGATTGAGAGTTCCCAGAGAGTTAATGGCCGTAGAGTTTTGAAAGCGCGCGTGGTTTGATTCGTGGCTTGTATGGCGGATCGTTGGAGCGTAGATGGAGGTATCGGAGGGTCGTCGTTGGGCCAAACTGTGAGGAGCGGCATACGCAGGGTTTTGATCGGGGCTCAAATTCTCAGCATGAGGATGATGATAAGATTCGGCGCGCGCGATTCCATAAGAATGCGGAGGAGGTGAGGCGATGGGATAGAATACGGCCGCAGTCGCGGTGGCCGGGGCGCTGCCTGCAGAAGGGATCGTGATGGCGCCGTTTGGTGTTGACGATGGTCGTTTTGTTGTTGTTGGAGAAGCGGGAAACGGAGCTGGATTTGGAACTGGAACTGGAACTGGAACTTGAGGGAAAGGAGAAACAATAGCGTATGGCGACGGCGAAAAGGGAAGCTTGGGCGGATGCCGTGGATCCATGGCGCCAATTTTTTAGCTCCAAAATTCCCTTTCGCTTTAACAAGGCGCTTTTCCTCTTTGGCCTGAATCCACCCAATCCTGTTCCCACCCCAGGAAATCTCCAAAGAAAAAAAAATGCCAGTCAGTGGAGGTCAGGTCGAGTCGAATCCACTAACTCTAGGTACTAAGTCAGTTAGCAAATTGGATTCATCAACGTTTTGAGTTGTCAGTTCGTGTTTGTGATAATTGGGTTTAGTTTGCGCGGGAGTGAAGAACAAGCAAGCAAACGTTGTGCCTCGGAGTGCAAGGTAAAGGAAAAAATGCGCAACTGATGTATCCGCCGTGAATCAGACCGTTACAAGAGCGCGCGCGCGCAAAGGTCAGAAGCGAAAAAGCAAAACGGCTGTGATTATGCGACCAAAAAACGCGGCGGTAAGCAGAAAAGACGTAGGTACATACATCCCGATACATACGGTTACCACACACGAACACGCAAAAAGCAAGGGACGGACAAACACATACGACACGTGCCAGATGCGAGAAGAACGTGATACTGACGACGAGACACAAGAAATGGTGCAAATGTTGGAAATGTCGATGTTTATCTTGGAGGAGTAAAGGGCAGTAGATGGCTCCACGAGGCGACAGTAAAGTCCACTCTTCCACTCGCGCATCTCAACCACACACAGTTGAAACTGAGGTGTTGTGCTGGCTGGCTCAAAGCAGGACAGAGGCGTGATCAGAAACAATCACATCACCCAATAGATCGACTTTGTTGTTACACTGCTGTGCCCCGGCTGGGGTGTAATAAGAATCCGATTTTGTACTAAGATCGAGACTAACAGAGAAGCAATAGCAGGGTTATAAGTCGATATCATGACAACCATGAGCTCAGACCTTGTTCTCTTATCTAGGTATTATCTGTCGCAAAACCAAAGATATCTCCTCGACTGGATGCATCACGTTCACCTCGTCTGCACAATGATACCGTACTGTATGAATACCGTGTCTAGCTCATCATGGCTTGAACGCCCAGGACCCGCGCCGAAAAAGATGGACAGGGATCGGGGCATGGGGAGAATGCGCCAGGGGGAGGGGGGGGGACCTTGGGAAGCGGTGGGCGCTAAGTGGACAGTGAGACATGGATGGGCGAGTGACACACACAGCACACACAAGATGGGCAAAAGACCCTGTTGGTGGTCTTTTTTGCTTGAATCAGGTTCAAACCGATGGCTGGTAGGTACATACTCTAGATACTTGAGAGAGTCAAGAGGGGGAGGGGAGAAGCTGTTTGCTAGAAAAGCGATGCACAGTGAGTAAGCACCTACAGCAAAACTGGCAACGGCAGACAGGGAGCTTGATGTGATGCAACACTGAACCCAGCGACAGCTGACTCGGAGCTGGGAGCTGGAGGTTGGAGGTTGGAGCTCTCATTATCACAAGCAAACTCGAGTCTCACGTATATTTTAAGCTCAGGGAATATCCCGCTACATACCCCTCAGCATGGCACTCAATCAGAGCGCCTTCAAGTGCTCAGTCAGCCTGGAACTCTAGCTCACTCTTCGAGTCCTCTTCATGATCAAACCATCTCATCATGCCCATGACGCCAGAGAATGAAAATCTCCAACAAAAAGCTTTCAAGCTAAACTAGTCCCAGTTCGCCCCAAGCCTTGTCTGCCGTGGCCGCGGTCCATCTGACGAATGGGACGACGCCTGAAATACCCTACCATATCAGCATGACAGGGGGTCGTGTGTTCCGCTGTCTGGTTTGGTTCGTTTGTTTTATCCTCACATTCCCGAGACTGGTCTTGGAGTAATTGGCTAGTAATAAAAAGATCATGGGGGAGAGACACAGCTCACGAATGTGTTGACTCTGGCCGGGTGAGATGCCCCGTCAGATCACTGATGAGTGAGTGTTACTGCACTGTAAGACAGACAGTAAATACAGGGCTGGTGCTGTTCTCGTCTTGCCATGACTTGTAGTGACGTTACCCCATATCTTTTGGTTGAGAGCTGGCATGTCGGCATCCAATCACCCCTGGCCTGTTTCCATTGATGGCACACCTCAGCGAGATGATGAGCGGAGCAAACCCTTTCTTTCTTTCTGTCTTTCTTTTTGTTTTCATTTTTCACCGCCTTACGATTACTATTCGCGGCATCATCATCCGTCGTTCCGCTCATGCAAGGTTCTTACTCAGGAACAAGATCAGCAAATCTTTCTTTCTTCTTTCTTTTCTTCCCAGCGGAAATCTCAGTTCTCATGCATCTGTCCGACCGTTTTTCCATCGTATCGTATTTATTTTCATGCTATGTTGTGCTGTGCTTAGGTGAATGTGGTGTTTGTGCGGTGTCGATCCCATGCAGCTGTGCCTGCGACTATCCCGTTCTGATTCTGATTGACGAACCATCACCGACCGTGCTTGATTCAGATGCTGACAGGGTTTCGCGACCTGGTTGTTTGTTGATCAGCTGAGACGTTCAGTGACTGTTGTGTTGGAAACAAAATGATTGCTCATCTTGTCCGCTTGGCTCTGCTGGGTCGCGTACGAACAAACAAATCATTGTTCATTTATGACAATCTACAAGTGAATGTTCCCGTCAATCTCAGATGCAAAATTCATTGATCATGTGTCATAGCTCGATCTTCTATATTTAGCTTGATCGGTGAATATCCCTGTTCAACGTCATGTCCCTGCGATTTCAAAGTGCTACCCTGGAGAACATCGCAACACCGAAAACCTAAGCACTCACGACTTATAATTTTCGTTTATTATACTGCGCTTGTTCATAAGAGCAAATGATTGTTTGAATCCAGCATACAAGTTTATATACGCTGACACCCGATTACTACCTGTACTCTCTTAGCGTTCCCCAATTCATTCTAGGGTATGCGAATACAACGTTATGAACACCAGTCCGTTGAGTGAGTGCACTGGCACTACGAATCGGATACCACCAGCAACGGCTCGCACCAACGTGTATATAAATTGTCGAATAGACTGGGCAACAATACATTAGATCACCTACAGACATCGCTTTCACGATAGTTATCACGACTTCTCACCAGCACTCATAATTTCGTTGCGGAATACACTAACATCAACAAGATCACCTCGAATCGGTTGAGATACCAAGAGGGACGACTCACTTCTGATTCAAACAAGTTTGTTCATTTAAACTACCTATACAAAAAAGCTATCCAAGTCAGCCGTCAAGATCCATACTCTGTGCGCAGGCCACATCCGTGAATCACAGCACCTGCTACCAGCGCATTCGTTTGAACAACCGACTATACCCCTATAAAGGTATCTCACACTGCTTCTCTTCATCATGAGTTCTTCTTTTTCTGCAAACCCTCAAGCAACCTCTCTAGGAGAAACAATGGCGCCACGACGTCTCGCTGACTACATCGAACGCATCAAGGAGGCTGACAAGACTTCATCGCAGACTACCGCCCGCCCCTTCAACAACGGCACGGCAACACAGCCGCCTGTTATCCGAGGTCGAGTCAACCGCATCCTACTATTCCCCGGATCTTTCAACCCTCCTCACCAAGGTCATCTTGACCTCCTCAAGCATGTTTTCTATAACGCGGGAGCAGACCTCAATATCATCGCAGCTATCATCATTACCACTGACGACAAGAGACTTGAGAGGAAGATGGATGGGAGAGAGACCGGTATTGTTCTTTCTCGTGAGAAGCGAGTGAACCTCTGGCGTGGAGACGGCATTCCTGTTGACTGGGCATGGGTCTATGATAACTCTGAAGCTAGCTGGCCAGGATTCCATGCCAAGCTTGTCAATGCGTTGAAGAGGGATGGAGTAGACCTCAAGTTCACTCTTCTCCTCGGTCCAGATGCCATTACTGCAGATGGCGGCTATAATCCTGTTGGCTGGAACTGCGGCGACGCTATCACCAGTGATATCTCTCGCCCTGTCGACTTTCGCTATCCCAACAGTCTTCGACAGCTCGCGGGTTGCACGCCCTGGGTAAACCTCCAGGATGGCCGACCTCGCTTCGACAACAAAATCTCGATCTGTCGCCAGAACCGGGTTCAGCCCAGGGGCACTATCCGATTCGTACCGTGTGACCTGGATCGACGACCTCAAGATGCGCCTAGTTCGACTAAGATTCGAAAGATCATTGAGAGCTCGTCCCAAGAAGAATGGGAGGAGAAGCTGAAGGGTATCGCACTCCATCCGAAGCTTTTAGTTGAGTACCTGAAGGAGCTCCCTCCGCTTACAAAGCCTGCCGCCGAGTCGAAGGAAGATCTGGCGAAGAAGCAGTGGGAAAGCATTGTTTGGTAAACAAAGAGGCTTATGTATTTGTACTGAGAGGACTCGCAGGATTTGCTGGCGATGTCCTGTATAGATTGATGGAGTTGATCTAGAGCTAATCATGAAGCAGTAGCACATGTAAGGCGCTGGGAGTTCTCAGAGTGAATGGTATAGTAGAGCAAAATACAGAGCAACAAAAACACGAAACATATGTCCCAACCACAGTGATGGCCCTAGTTAAGTCAGAGGCCGTATCCCTCATCATCTTGCACCGTTCCCCCATGCCATAGTAAGCTACAACTATTTCTTAAGCCCTAACTTAGTACGGCATGAAAGCGACCGTGAAAGATGACGGGGGATACGATCCTTCCGACTAAAATACTTCCCACAAGCCTCGCAAGTTCCACTCGGATCAGGGATCTTGTTCGCTCGAGCATAGTCCTTGTGAGATACCCAGTAGTGACGATGAAGTTCCTTCTTGTCTGCCCCGAGATAGCCGCAGTCGTTTTGGAAGACGCAATTCAGACGACGGTTATGTTTACGATTGTAATGTTTCCTGGTCAAAGGAAATGTTAGAAAACCTGTTACTGTACCGAGGGAGGAGATGAACTGACCTGAAGTTGGCTCCTTGCTTCCAAGATCTTCCACAACACACTACCTCCTTCGTGCCTGATACTAATTAGCTGAAGTTGATAAGATGACGTTAGAAGAGATCTGACTTGCCCATCGCATGTTCGTCTTCACTCCTAATCTCAGACCCATCATCCTCGGAACCACTACTATCCAACGACAATCCCGCTTGTAGATCGGCCAGTCCACCGGCGTGTGGATCAAAGCCATAAATACGTGCATGATTCCCAGACTAAATCTGAGGCCTGGGAGTGCTGTAGGAAGTGTTGGCTGAAGTTTGCTCGTTGCCATTGTATGTTGGGCTGTAAGAGTGAATAGTGTTGTACTCTTGGGTTGGGTATTGGTGATGGAGGAAGTCTTGATGCTGCTGAGCTGCCCACTCGGAACGCTTCACCATAGACTTGACCTCTGGCCCCAAGTTAGCTTCTTTTCAAGTGATTGACACCCTAAAGAGAAGTCTTACCATGGTCAGGAAAGTCTCGCTCAATGTCAATGTCGTTGAAAAGCCCCATCGTGAAACTCAAAACGCCTAGCTAATGTTAAGCGAAACAATGAGAAATGACTCCATTGAAAGAGTGTAATACGCGCGACTGAGTGAAGTTTAAATACCCGCCTGGGTTCCTACTTATGAATTAGCCTTGCGATGTTCGGTCCAAAGATCTTATCACCGTCCAACCATAGCCTCACTTTCAACCTGGGGGCCGGCCATTTCATCATCGATACCGACCAATCTCCCAATGCGAAACACGCCTCGCGGGCTGGTATAACGGGCCAACACGTGCTGTCAGGATGCCTGATTGGCGAGAGATTCATGAGATGGCGGTGAGACTGGGGCCTGCATGCGACGGCCCCCGTTGTTTTCTCTTTGAACATGTTCGTTTCCTCTGCAGGCTAGTAGCCAACACAAGACCTTGATATAGGTTGTCGAAATAAACTCAACAACAGGTATCCTCAACCCATCCTAAACTTACCTAACCTATACTTATACTATGTACGTTGCCTGTGTTAGTATCTTCTCATTTAGGATCGAGGGTCACTCAAGTTAAAGTTTAGTCCCCCGGAAAGTGGACCCTCACTGTAAATGCCCGGGCCCGAAGACACCAACTACCGGCGGAGGATCGGCGAAGCTCCACGTGACGGCGCCGAGCTATCGGGTTGGTCTAACTTAAGGAGTCTCTATTTGTTTACCTCGCACCATCAACAGCATCAAATCATCATTACCTCTCCTCACATTCGTCGAGCATGCGTGAAGATGGAGACCCAGATCCTGATCGCGATCGTCCTCCGGGGAAGCCGTGGTGTGCCAGCATCGCATTTAAACTGACCCTTCCGCTCATTGTGGGTTTGACGATTGTCATGCTTGCACCTCAAATTTGTTTTCTCTTTGATCTTGGATCGATAGATATGAAGCTTACGAGCTCAATTGCGGTTTGTCCGGCGCTGGCTATGGCGAGGAACGTCACATTTTATACGGATGATGCCCTGGCTCCGACTCCACTACCGCCGGCTCATGCAGCTTCAGATGGACCAGATATTATACACGCTTTCCAGTCTTTGAGTCGCACAACTGTATGGAAAAGCATTTCGAACATTACTTTTGAGAGCGACACGTTTGAGCCTGAGGGAATGGTACGCTTGGGCGATGACCGTTACGTGGTCAGTTCAGGGCATTGGACCGTGCCAACTGAAAAGTACGGCAAGATCATCAATGGAACAGACCGAACAGCTGGTGCAGGGCTGGCTCATCTGATGGTGTACAACAGTGAAGGAAAGCTTCTTGCTGATGCGACAATCACGAAAGAAGGGAATGATGAGTATCACAATGGAGGAATTGACTACGATGGTCAGTATATCTGGGGGACCATCGCGCAGTACCGACCCAACAGTATCGCGTATGTATATCGGACAGACCCAGCAACCTTGGTGCCAGAGCGTGTCCTCAATTATAAAGACCATCTCGGCGGTATTGTCCACGACACCCGCGACAATTTCATTACGGCTCTGAATTGGGGCGCACGAGACGCTGCAACATGGGATCTGAAGAGTGCCAAAACAGGTTGTGACGCAGCACCGAGACCCGAAAGAGTCGTACGGAATCCAAGTTATTTCATCGACTACCAAGACTGCAAGTGGCTGGGCCACAGTGGTTTCTACGGCGGAAAGAGTGTCATGCTTTGTTCAGGCGTCACGACAATTGGCGGTTACAATCTTGGCGGCATCGCTCTCGTGGACGTCAAAACGATGGTTCCTCTAGCTGAGGTGCCAATTGAGCTGGAGAGTAAGCTTGGCGTGAGATTGACGCAGAATCCAATGGATGTTAGCGTCAAGGATGGTAAGCTGAGGCTCTACCTACTGCCTGATCAGCATAACAGCACTTTATACATTTACGAAGCCCAAACTTGACTGATACCTACCTACTAGATAGAATAATGATATGAACTAATTGTGTAACCTAATTTGAGGGGTTGTGCTCTTATTTCGGTGCCTGTCGAGGTGACGATAATGCTGACGAAGCCGATTGGGCTAACCAAGGTAGCTTAAGGCAGACTCGCATTCTCGTATCACCGAATTCGGGTGCCTGACGCCCGTTTATAAAACGTGCTTCTTTCATCGAAACCCATCCCGAGACATGAGTATTTCGTGTTTCGTTTACAATCCGAAAAATCAACATGACCTTTACTGAGGATTCGAGCTCAAGACACTTCCGAATGGAAGGTCTCCCGCCTGAGCTGAGAGATCTCATCTGGAAGTTCTCCCTCCCTGACTGTCGTCTATTCCATGTAAAGAAGACGTCAACTCAAGAGCCATCTACCAATCCTACAGTCGACCAACTGTTCTTCCGCTTCCACATCCATTATGCGCCTCCGATAGCTCTTCGAATATGTCGGGAATCTCGTGCTGTTGCACAGCGCGAAGGTTTCTTCCTCTCACCTCACGGAGACAACCCAGGCGTGTGGTTCAGGCCAGAAACAGACATCCTCTACTTTGACCGGAACCAACGTGTCACTCTCAAGGCCAAACCGCATAATTCAATAGTTACAATTCATGGCTATGACAAAGTCCTCAACGTCGGCATTGAATGGCGCGCTTTCTTTCGAGATGTTCCCCGCCCAGCTGCCGGTGAGACAATGGCGGAATACTGGAGATCTTCTATAGAGTCGCTGTACGATTTCATGCCGGGCATGCGCACTCTGAACTACATTCTCCCTGAGCTGCGACACAAGGGCGGTATGGTCTGGGGACGTGAACCGTATCAGGCGCAGAGCTACAAGGCTGTGCTTCTACCGCTACCGGAGAGGGTCAAGATCCCGTGGGAGACGACGCGGAATCGGGGAAATGATCGGGCAGCGATGCTGAGTGAGTTTCTGTTCAATGCGTCACACGGTAACAGAGATACTACACCGCTCATGGTGACTTGGGGAGAGGTTAAGAAGGATATTGAAAATGGTCTTGAAGAGGATCCTGAGCGAGAAAGTGCAGGACATTATCCGCTCGAAGTGATCGGTTGGTGGTTGATAAGGGATGGTATTCCTGAGACACAGGAGAACCCACAGGTTCAACGATTTCAATCTTAGGCACTGTAACCAAGGAAGCACTCGGAGAGGGAAATTGAGGCGGACAACACTTTTGTAACTACACTATCGGCTCATCAAATGACTTCGCTTCATTCAATTCTTCATCCCACACACCAACGCCAGTTCATTCATACCTAACACACCGCTTTAAGACATGTGAAGTACCTCAATGTTGTTCCCAACAGGATCCAGAACAAACGCCGCATAGTATCCATCTCTATACGCCCTCAGCCCAGGCTTTCCATTATCCACCGCTCCAGCTTTACTACACCAACCTAATCAGCATCTTCATCACATATTCAGATTGACAATTGACTTACATGGCCACATCATACCACTCATCAACATGCTTCTGATTCTCACCATCGAAAGCGACATGAACAGGTGCAGTTCTGTTCTCAAGATTGCCATCATATTTCTTCAACGCAGGGCCACCGCCGCCAAGCCAAAAGTCTGGAGCGCCATTCTTGACGCCGAAGCTGCAGTACTGAGCTCCCTTGGCACCTGTGCCTTCAAACTTGAGTTCATAGCCAAGAGGAGCAAGAACAGCTTTGTAGAAGTCGCGCATCTCGACGTAGTGTTCGCCGACGGCGAGGGCAACGTGACTGAAAGGCATGATGAAGTGATTGACTATTCTTTGGAAGTGGCTGTTGTTTTTGATGGCATGAGCTGATGAATAGATCGAATGATAAGAGGAGTTTTCAGCTCTTATATACTTATTTCTTACATGTCCCTAGTTCACGGTCCAACTACACATTTCCCCTCCTCAGCGTGAACCCCCCTCACGTCCGTGGCGTTTCCCAGCGATGATCCGACCCGGACTTGAGATAAAGTCCGCGATCTATCCGAATGCCAACGTACAAGTGTTTCATGAAATGCACGGATCGTTGCACCGTGACTCACACGGTAATGAAAGATTAAAGATTTTGTATGGGCTGATGGGGTTTTGGTATTGTTTTCTGAATGTCTGAACGAATGGACGTGTCTTGAGGTTCATATTAAGGTTGCAATGATCCACATTTAGCTTGGTTGCTTATTTTCCTATTTGGGAAAATGAGAAGTTCACGGTCAGGGACTGTATCAGTTATACGGAAATGGGAATCGGTCGATGGCGGAATTTGATCGGATTCCGTGGAAGAGGTCATGCTGTGAACCCGAAAATTCTTGTCGTCCCTCAAAGCATGGACTTGTCCGCAGACTCATACATGTGAGACTACAAAGGAACCAACTGGCTCACTATTCAATCAAGACCACAAGCATTGTCTAAGCTTTAATCATCATGAGGCATAGCAATCAACAGCACAGACAATGGAGATCGAAGGGTATAGTTCCCCAGAAACCTGAAGCCTTTTTCTTAACCTTAGGGTCACCTCGAAGAAGCGCACCTTCTACAATTACACTGTCACGATATAGTGAGATCATCGCTCCACCAGTATGGCACAAATTCACTAGAGCAAACAGGAAGTGATGAAGATCCGCCACTTTTATAATTATCGATGCTAGACCGACGAGAATCCCACTCATCGCAGGTCGCCGAGGCATCAAACATCAGCAACGAGACACCAGAGGGGCCACCAGGGACGTGAAGAACGTGCCCGTGCCTGCTGTGTCACAAATCGAAGAAAGGTATACAGTAGAATCGAGGTGATCAGAGCGTGGAGGAATTCTTGAATCCTTTGTGGAACAACATTTGTCCATGGCATAGAATACCTCACGAGAAACCACGCCTGCGCTTAGAGCGCGAGTTTACATCTGTCAGACTTCAATATCTGACCCAAGATTTTAAAACTCTTTTTTTAGTACTTCAAAAAGTAGAATGACCGGATCGCTAATGCCTGAGTATGTCAAGAAACAAGTTTCAAGTGCACCACAGCAACTGGATCTGTCCTGAACTCGATACTGTACACATATATATCATTCCGTCTCATCCGCCTCTTCTTATGAGTTGGCCTCATGAGAAGATTTCGAGAACCCACCAGCCACCATATTTTCCTCTCCGACTACTCGTGACCTTTCATTCAGGTTTTGAATGCTTAGTGGGAGTCTCCAAATGCTACAGGCGTAGAGCAAAGTGACCCTCAGGTAACCGAAGCATGCACATGTCAGGAACTTTTGCAAATTGCTAAGATGTGCTGACCAAGACTGTTGTCAATATCGCAGTTGACGTCTGACTCAGTCGGTTTTGTGCGGTAACACATGGAAGATTAGATCTGTGCTTGTGGTTCGGATGGATAAGGTAGTCTAACCTTGACAAAGGATGACTGTATAATCACGGGATGCGATAAAGAATCTGTTAGGCATTGATGAACAGTGGTAAGATGTGCATATAAGGCTGGCACGCGTGCCAATGGGAGACTGAGAAGGACAGGAGGGTCAGCTCTAAAGCCATTCTGGTATATCTAGAGGTCTACTATACTATGACATGCATGTATGATTAGTCTGAGCTGGTACCACCGCTAAGTGAGTTCGCAATGGACTCTCACCTAAATTGAAGGGAATAATGGCTCGAATTTATCTGAGACAAAAGCTAGATTACTTGTGTTACCATTCTACTTCATTTCGGGCTCAAAACAAGTTATCGAAATTTCATAATTGGGGGCTATATCAACTTTCATCAATTTACCCTGGTCCTTCAAGCATTTGGCCAATCAGTCAATGACCCAGTAGCTAACACCTCAAGAGAACACTAGGCATTGGCTGTTGGTCAAGACCAAGTCATTTGTAAATGCTGACAGCCAAGCTTGCTAGTTGGTAGCTAAATCAAGGCCTCAAAACATGTCAGCCCTACCAAAGTATCGGTGAACTATTTCAAGCTCAACGAACAACCGTACACTCAATCACCATTTCAGTTGAGTTTCCATAAGTTTTCTATGCAATTATTTTGAGTAAAACAACACTTGGTAAGTCTTATTAAACTGGTAGTATGCCCTCTTATACAGCATCATATTGACCAACATCGAGAACTTGACGGCAACCACACCCGCTTATCTCAGACAACGTACATCGCATGCTATCCAACCATATCTTGACAGATTTTCTAGACTCGTCCCAAGTGATGGACCTAGCGCTGACAGAATTTGCGAAAATATGCTTATTCCGGTGCCAACTCCGTGGTATGCCACTGAGCTGAGAGCGTCCGTCTTGGTATGGCCCCCAATCCTGTTCAATTCCAGGTAAAGTCAACAATTGACTCTGCTGATTGGGTTGAGTCGTGATATTAGGGGAGCCAAAATGTGACTTCGTGGCGCAGAGGGTCTTGTCATGTAAGATGATGTTGTTGTTGTGTGCATTCACCGTCGGATGGATATTGTGAGAAAAGGAAGTCTCCGAATTCAGTATATTACAGCGCCGGAACCCGAGTACCTTGGTCAATATGAAGACAGATAATTGATATTTATCCTTTCGTTCCTCAATTGGGCGCAGGTCCTAACTCGGCACTTGCAATATGTACTTCTCACTCTCTTCTCTCATATTTCTCCCCTTAGTTCTCCAATCGTTCATCACATCAGTATCCGCCACATACTGGAACAACACCAAGAAGTTTGACCTTACCATAACATGGGAGAACTACGCCCCAGATGGCTTCACACGAAAGATGCTGCTCGTAAATGGGCAGTCCCCTGGACCTGTGCTTGAGATCAACCAGGATGACTTGGTGGTGGTAAAAGTCCACAATCAGTCTCCAGAAGAACTCACTATTCACTACCATGGTATGTCTCTAGTGTAGAATAAGCTCGGAGGTACTGATAAGCTAGGACTGGAAATGAAAGGCACACCATGGACCGACGGCGTTCCCGGCGTTACACAACATCCCATCAAGCCAGGATGCAGCTTCACTTACAAGTTTCACGCCACACAATACGGAAGTTTCTGGTATCACTCTCATCACCGGGGCCAGATCGAAGATGGTCTCTACGGAGCTATCATTATTCATCCACGACCCCACGAACCGAACCCGTTTCACTTGATCTCCGATGATAAGGAGACTTTGTATGAGATCCAAAAGGCAACGAGGAATGTTAAGCCAGTCGTTATTTCTGACTTTGTGCACCTTACTTCTACTGAGAAGTGGGATATGACAGTGGCAGCTGGGATCGAGGACTCGTGCTATGATTCGATCCTCTTTAATGGCAAGGGAAGAGTCGAGTGTCTACCTAAGGATCTCGTGGCAGCCAATCTCAACGAGATTCAGAAGAGCTACCTTGAGTTGATACCAGGCGGTGCTGAGTTTACTGACAAGTCGTGAGTCTCCAGGGCAAACTCTACTGTCAATTGCTGACACTTACAGCTGCCTTCCTGCGTCTGCTCTAAATGCCCTCGCCGGTGGTCTAGGCAACGAAGAGGCCCTCCTCCCTGGAACATTCTCCGGATGCAAAGAAACAGAGGGCCAAATCGAAGTCATCAGAGTCTCCAACAAATACCACGCTTCCTCAAAATGGGTTGCTTTTGACATTGTTGCTGCAGTCAACTTTGTCAACGGCGTCTTCTCCATAGATGGCCACGATATGTGGGTATACGCCATGGACGGCTCCTACATCCAACCTCAGAAAGTCCAAGCCATTGCCGCCACAAACGGAGACCGATATTCCGTTCTTGTCAAGGTTGAAAAGTCCGGGGACTTCAAAATGAGATTCAATTCGAACAGTGCGCCGCAGATCATCACCGGCCATGCTATTCTCTCAGTTGACGGCTTCGGTTACACACAAGAGGCTGAACCGTGGATCAACCTCGTGGGCATTCCTGTGTCAAAGAACGTCGTGGTGTTTAACCAGATGGTGGCGTTTCCTTACCCCCCAGTTTCGATTTCGCCAACTGCTGATGTCACCTTTAATCTAAGCATGGAGATCAAAGGCGCTTCGTATCTCTGGGCTTTGAACAGCACAGGTCTTATGTCAAAGGATCTCGACGAGCAAAGACCTACACTCTTCAACCCCCAGCCTTACGTCCACAACAACGTTACAATCTCTACAAAACTGGGACAATGGGTAGATCTCGTCTTTGTGGCAGCCATGTTTCCCCAACCTCCACATCCGATTCACAAGCACGGTTCAAAGATGTACATGCTAGGCACGGGAACTGGCCCTTTCAGGTGGAGTTCTGTTGAAGAAGCTGCCAAAGAAATTCCCGATCAGTTCAATCTTGTCAATCCGCCTCGAAGAGATGCCTTTCTTTCGGCGCCGGCGGATAAGGAGCCGAGTTGGGTTGTAGTTCGATATCACGCCGCCGATCCTGGTCCTTGGCTTCTCCATTGCCATATCAATAATCACATGGTTGGTGGCATGATGATGGTTATTCAGGATGGTGTTGATGCGTGGCCAGAGGTTCCTGAGGAGTATGCTGAGGGTGGCGATGGAGAGTGAAGTGTTGGTGAAGGCGCTTATGGAGCGAGCGATCTTTTGACTTCTCATCGAGACTAGGTCTCACCATTCAACTATTGTTTGTTAATAAACCCTTTTCGCATATAATCAATTGGAACTTGAATCGCGATGATCCTGCTCATCCACTGATACAGGTTCTTAAATTCCAAGACTAAAAAGGGATCAAGAAATTCATCAAATTGCAATGCATCATGGTATCCTAACAAAAATGCAAATCATATCCCGCTACATTAAAACAGCCAAGTAACCACATTCTTCACCTTGGCCTTCCACCCCGTCTCCTCTGTGACCTTCTCCTCAATCGTATAAACATCCGTCTCAAGGTCCATCTCGCTCAGCCCCACGAACTTTGTCTTCTTGACAAGCTTCCACACCACAAACATGAGCAGCATGACCGGTAGCTCGATGTAAAAGCTGACAAAGCTAACACCGTCGAACTTGGGACTGAAACAGCTCCAGCCCTGGACGAGAACGAGGAAACTGTTGAGAATGACGCAGATCCAGGGTCCGTAGGGATACGTCCAGTTCTTGAAGGGGAGAAGATGAGTCTTGCCTTGTAGTGCGAGGGCTTGGCGGAAGCGGATTGACGTGATGCCGATGGAGATCCAGCTGAGTTGGTTGGACACACCGACGATACTGTGAATGTTAGCTATGCCCAAGATGTAGATGCCGATCGATGCTTGACTTACTTCTGGAGCCAATTCCACAAATCGCCCGCTCCGATGAAACTCGAGCCAAAGCAGAGACCAGCCACGAACCCTGTCACAAGGACAGCAACCCAAGGTACTCTGTTCCTGTTGAGCTTCCCAAGGACCTTGGGGGCATGACCCTCGATAGCAAGAGTGTACATCAATCTCACTCCAGCAAAGAGAGCGTGGTTTCCAGCAGACAGGACACTAGTGAGAATAACGGCGTTGATGACACTTCCAGCAGCTTTGGCGCCCGTCATTTCAAAAACAATGGTGAAAGGAGAAGTGCGGGTCTCCTTGGAGTTGAGATCGGGATAGTTGTAAGGGACGTTGAGACCGATGAGAAGAATGGAAAGGAGACTGGTTCTGTTAGTGAGATGAGTAAGTGAGTGCGGGTGAATGAGACGTACTAGAAGAGGATAATCCGCCAAAAGACATTCTTGACGACCTTGGGGAGGTTTCGTGTGGGATCCTTGGTCTCACCAGCCGTGATGGCAATACTCTCAGTTCCTCCATCTACGCCAGTCAGTTTCATCTCATACCATCTGAGATTCACATCTCAACTTACAAGCAAAAGAGGCCGTGACGAAAACAGAGGCAAAGCCACCAATACCTCCAACAAAAGGCGCACCAGGGATATGCCAATATTTCCCGCCGATGTACTCTCCCGTCTCATTTCCACCGCAATTAACAACGATGCCCATGACGATGAAAACCACAATGGTGATGACTTTTAGCAGACTGAGCCAGTACTCGAGTTCACCATATGCTTTGACGGAAATAATGTTGACGCCGATGAGCACAACCCAGAAAATGAGACTGAGGGCCCAGCCGGGGAAGTTGTCGGTCCAGTATTGGAGAACGAGCTGCAGGGCGACGAGATCCGAGGCAGTGGACACAGCGTCGTTGAACCAGTAATTCCAAGTGAGAGCAAAGCCAAACGCATCATCAACAAAACGTCTGCCTCGTTAGCAATAATCCCGCCTACAAGTGTCTCACTAAGACAACTCACCCTGCAAAAGTACAAAAACTTCCAGCAACGGGTATAAACGCCGCCATCTCCCCCAGAGCCAACATGGTCGTAAACACGATAGCACCCACGATGGCGTAGGCGATCAATATCGACGCTGGCCCACCCGTGGCAAGGGACTTTCCAGTACCGAGAAACAGGCCAGTACCGATGGTGCCGCCAATAGCAATCATCTGCACCTGGCGCGCTGAGAGCGAACGCTGCAGCAGATCCTGTTGCGTGGGTCGCGGGACATCGCTGTGCGGTAGATTCTCGACGTCATCGTCAGGAGATTTGCCATGTTCTTTTTCCGGTGGGAACTCCATTGTGACTGTTGTCTTGATCACAATTGCGACAGTAAGTAAGACATGTAAGTTGGAATCTATAGAGATACAAGTTTCATCTCTTGATAGATGATATACTTGGCTTCGAGATCCGCAAAAACGAGGCACGAGGAATTGCGTGCTCAGAGGCAAATCCACTCTCCAATGTCAAGAGAGTTGCAGTTACGTACGAGCAAAGTGTATTTGGGTGGTATTCTACTACTATCCCTTCCTTGCTGAACCATGTCAATGGGATCTTCAGAGTGACAAACTTGAACCCGCTAAGGGAAGGTCGCTAAGTTTGGATCTGGCTAAGCACTAAAGTTCCGTGGTAACGTCGCATGAACCCACATTGTAACTGAATTCAGCCTGTTGACGGTAGGTAACAATAAGATATGATTGTATCTACTGTTTCTCGAATTCTCGGCTCTTCCTCCAGCATTTCTACATATTCTCAACCTCATTCATGTCTGAGATATCGCTGGACGGAAATATTGATATCAAATTACAAGTAGCCCACTACAGAGTCACTACGGCGATCTGGAGGGTCACTCTCGGCCCCATCATGCCGGCTGGGGTTACGTCGCCGAGTTTTCCAGAAAAATCTCTGCTTAGGTATAGTCTGAAGGATTCCAAGCTCGTGGTTCGGTGGCATGTTATGTTCAAAGGCAACCAACATCATCTTACATCTGACATCTTGTATATAAACTTCAATGTCGCAATTCTTTCCTCAATGACAACACTGCCCATGTCTACCTCTTCTCATAATTATCCAATGCTGCTGACACTCACGAGACATTGTGCGGCTCTCATGATGTTCGGCGGCATGGGTCAAGTATAGACTAGTCTGGCCAAGCCGGGAATTAACATCTGAGCCAAGAATCGCCAAGATCTCTTTTTTTCGCTTTCGCCCTCTTCTAGAAGCTTGCTTGGGTTAATAAGCAGAAAGCAGTGCAGTTCAGCTCCGAGATCATGAAATTTATTCCCGTGTGGTTGCCTCTCTATCACTCCATGGCTCTGCCTATATCGCCACTTAGTGACCCTCTCACTTATTGATGTCTTTGTTGCTGTACTCAACACTCAAGATGTCTATCACCTCATAGATTATCATAATCGGTCTCACGGGCTCACTCACAGACTCATTGCTCGCATAAACAACAGTTTTACAGACTGTTTATTTGCAAGGATCTCATTTCCACATAACATGATCTTGCATAGATTGAATTTATTATGGTCTTTCTCTTATGCCCACTCTACATGACTTTGTTTGGCCAACTTATGCGAACCTAGGCTCAGACACCTCAATGTCCTAGAGGATTAGCACATAACACAAAAATAAATTTATGTCTCGTGCGATTCAAGCTAGACTGAGACATCTTCTCCAGGGAAATGCGCCAATAATTGTTTGTCATGTCCAGTCAATGCGCGTCTTTTGATGTGCTGTGTTCTTACAGTCAGTTCATAGCACATATGACTCCGAGAATATGCCTAATATGACCCTAGAGTCAAGCAATGGTCACATAGCCGTATCTCAACGGACCTGGCTGTAACTAACAATCCGTTAAATGTGTCTACCAAACATTTGGCCTTGGCTGGACTCGACTTGATCTCGTCGGTTGTCACAGGCTACAGGCTTCCAACTTACACTGGACCCAGTCTGCTGTGATCCTTCAAGGCTACCAAATTAACCATAGCCCAACCAAGCATCACCATCACCATCACCAATCTGTCCTCATTTCAGTGGTCTACAAACATCAAGGTACCATGTATTAGCCAGTCTTTTACTTGAGTTAGTCTGCCTTAATTTATGGTGAAAGCCTAGCTGTCACTGGCGTAGGACTTGTGGTGGCTGCATCTCCCCACAGCCACTCCCTCCCATCCTAGCTCAGCTCATAGGCAGCAACACCAACAATAAAACCGCCAATATCTTGTCATAAAACTGTCCTTTTTAGAAAAATCTACTTAATAGGCATCTATGTTTCTCTTCTCAGAGTAGCATCAATTTTATTTCATTTCTCATCCTCTCAAGATACCCCCGTCACAGTGCTTATAAAATGTTATCCAACCTCGCCTCAAAACTAGGCCTCAGCTCCAAACCCGGATCCCAATCCTTCCTCAAACCACGCGACCCTTCCAAGAACATGCTCACCAAAGTGGACTACACATCAAACGACATTCCCATCCCTGATACTTTCCTCTCTTCTCCGCCTGAAAAACCAATAACGACTCATCCCATCGACTTTGCAAACTCTCCTCTTCCCCAGTACGATGGCCACACCGCTATCGTGCTAGACAACGTCCTCTCACCAGAAGAATGCAAACAGCTTCTCTCTCTAGCAGAAGCGTCCGTCCCAAGACCTGATGAAAGTGCACCGACTTGGAGACCTGCTTTGATAAGCGCCGGTCCTGGATGGGAGGCCCCGGCGCCGGGGTACAGGGAGAGTGATAGGATTATATGGAATCAGCAGACAGTTGTTGATCGCCTATGGGAGCGCTGCATGCTCTCCGAGGGGTTGCGGGAACTTTTGGCTGTGGTGCCGCCGCAACCTTATATGAAGGGTGGGAAATGGGTGTTTAGTCGCTTTAACGAGAGGATGAGGTTCTTGAAGTATTCACCGGGACAGTTCTTCAAGCGTATGTGTAACCAACCGTCTCCAGTGTCTCACAGCTAACATATCTCAGCCCACTGCGACGGCCCTTTCTACTATACCGAAGGCCCAGGCAAAGAGTTTGAGACTTTCTACACCGTTCACCTATACCTCAATGACTCTATTGAGAATGATCCAGCTTCGGAACTTGAAGGTGGCGCAACTTCATTCCTCGACAGAAAGGGAGAGAAGAGAGTCGATGTAAACCCCAAAACTGGAAGCGTTCTCATTTTCCAACACAGAGGGCTTTTCCATGAAGGAGCAACGGTACACAAAGGGGTCAAATACACCATGAGGACAGACATTCTCTACGAGTGGGTTCCCGATAAGGAAACGGAAGAGGCCAACTAAGAGAGGCATGAAAACTTGGGACCTCGATCTTGAGGAATGAAAAATTCGAAGGCATATCTAGTGAATTTAGTAGTACAAGTTATGGGTAACAAGACTCTAATGTTGACAGGCTATCATCAAATGCTCCCACCTTGATTAATCCCAGTCCACTTATTATGCATTTCCTTACTGTAGCCCTTCTCCTTGATGCTCTCTTTAGTGAGGATTTGCCTAATTATGTTTATTACTCAGAGCAACAATCCTAAGCTTGTCATAAGGCTACTCAAAGTTATGAATGTATAATCCTAAGCTTGTCATAGCTACTCAAAGTTCTGGATGTGCAATCCTAAGCTTGTCATAACTACTTAAAGTTATGGATATACAATCCTAAGCTTATCATAGTTACTCAAAGTTATGAATGTATAATCCTAAGCTTATCATAGTTACTCAAAGTTATGGGTGTGCAATCCTAAGCTTATCATAGTTACTCAAAGTTATGGCTGCAATACTGCCTATTAGTTATATGTCCTTTGTTTCGGCATCTTGGCCACTAAGTCCTCCATATCATCCTTTTTATAAAAATGCGGTGCTAACTCCCCTAACCACTTAGGCTCGATAGGCATCACGCTGCGCATATAATCCTTGGTCGTCTGCACGAGCTCAAAATAAATGACCATCTTCGGCGGGGGGTCGACGGACATCATGACACTGCTTGGGTGTATCCACATGGATGTGTTGGTCTTGACCATCCTGTAACCATCGCCGCTCTTCTGCAGCCGTGCAGCGTTGACGAAGAACCCCGATGTGATGGCTCGCTTGATGGGGGTGAGGTTGGAGGCACCACACGAAGACAACGCAACTTCGACCCTTTCGCATAGCTTTTCCAGTTGGTCACGAACGTCACGTGCCCTTGTGAGAGTCCGTTGTTGAAGGAAGTTCTCCTTCGCCCAGATGGGGGAGAAGCCGCTGTCAACCCATTGGGTCCAGATGTTGAGGAGTGTGACGTGGTCACCTCCATCCTTGATGGTGAATCGGTTTCGGGCGCTGTCTGCTTCAATCTTCTTGTCCTTGGGTCGGAAGAACAGCGTGGAAGCTTCACCAAGCATCGATACAATGGACAGAACCTCTTCGACGCAGCCTTCCTTGCCGGCAGCCAACACAGCCTTGGCTAGCAAAGGGTCTGTAGGGAATTCGGCCATTTGACGGCCAACTTTGGTCAATGCCCCATGACGATTCAACGCTTGCAAAGCATATAACTGATTCAGCGCGCCAATAAGAGAGTCTTTAGACGGAGGATCCATGAAATCGAAATCAAGCAGTTCATTGATGCCCAGGGACTTCAGTTGAAGCACAACACCGTTCAGGTTTGTTCGCTGGATTTCTGGTGTAGTTGATTCGTCCATTTCGTTCATGTATGCGAATTTTGTATATAGACGGAAACACTTTCCTGGGCCAACACGACCGGCTCGACCACTTCGCTGGTTCGCAGATGCTCTTGAGCAAGGAACAACAACTAAGTTCGATGAACGGGTGGCGGGGTTGTAGACGTTTTCCTTGACAAAACCAGGATCAATAACGTAGACAATTCCATCAATGGTTAAACTGGTTTCGGCGATGTTTGTGGCCAATACGACCTTCCGAGCTCCTTCTGGTGTTGGTTCGAAGATCTTTGCCTGTAAGTCGGACGGTAAGTTTGCGTAAATTGGGCAGATGACGAGTTCTTTGATGCGGTTGCCAAGTTTTTTTGCTGTCTGGGTAAGTTCAAGCTCAGCGGCTTCGATCTCGTCTTGTCCGGTCAAGAAGATTAGAATATCACCCTTGGGTTGTGTTGTGTGAATCTGGAATGTTGTTACAATGGCCGCGGTCAAATAATTCGCTTCGGGAGCGGGTGTATAGTAAATATCGACTGGATATCGTCGACCAGGAATATTGAAGATGGGGGCGTCGTCGAAATACTGTGCGAACCTCTCGGCGTTCATGGTAGCTGACGAAATCAGCAGCTTCAGATCAGGTCGCGATCTCGAGAGATCCTTGAGTAACGCCAGGAGGATATCAGTATGTACTGTGCGTTCGTGAGCTTCGTCTATCATCAGCGCTGAATACGACGAGAGTTCTGGGTCTGTCATGATTTCTCGTAATAACATTCCATCAGTCATATACTTGAGGATGGTCTTGTCGCTGGTGCAGTCCTCGAATCGGATCGTATATCCGACCTCTCTACCGATTTTGACACCTACTTCATCGGCCACACGAGCTGCGACACTCATGGCGGCCACTCGCCGAGGTTGTGTACATCCCACTTTCATGCCGTTCTTGGTATAACCCGCCTCGTGGAGGTATTGTGGTAGCTGAGTCGTCTTTCCACTACCAGTCTCTCCGACAATGACAAGAACTTGGTACTTCTCCAGTGCAGCGAGGAACTCGTCTCGATATTGGTAAATGGGCAAACTCTTTCGCGTCTCCTGTATTGACAGCGCCTTCTTCTCGGCTTCGTCGATCCGCGCATTCAGGGCTTGTTGTTCTTTGGTCAATGTTCGACCATCGTCGGTTTTTCTCGCATCCGATTTCCACTGAATATACTGTGATTCATCCATAAGAAAGTCGTAATCATCGTTCTCTCTTTCGGCGCGCTGGATTTGCGCTTTCACCTTTGTGGTTTGTTCCCGTTCCCATTCTTCATGCTCAGTAACGAATTTCTCCCGTCCGAATTGGTCTCTTTCAATGTGCTTCTTATAGAGTACCTCTTCCTTCTTCTTGCGATCGAGGCGTCCCTTCTCGGTGATGTAGTCCTCAGGCATGTAGTATCCATCTCGATGGTCATCAATATTAAGTCGTTCTTCGGCCAGGCGCAGGATCTCTCTGTTCTTGGCAAATTCAGCCTTCTCCTTCTCCGAAAGTCGCACGCCGCTCCTCAACTCATCCGTCTCCTCAGCAACCTGCTTCCGCAAGAGAGCAAGTCGTTCGGCTTCTCGTTTCTTGAGGTACTCTTGTCGCGATCGCTCTCGAATATCAGGTAGCGCCGCCTTATTCCGTGCAGCAGTATCTTCTGTCTTCTTCCTCTTTTTCGAGGGCTCCTTCGATGACTCCGCCTCATCCTCCATAGGGAGGAAGGCATAGCGTTTGGCGCTCATGATATGTTTGTGTCGAGTAGGTTGAGGTGGAAAGGTGGGTCTGGGTCCGTAGAAGGTTGTATGTACTGTATGTACAGGGTCACGTGACTTCTCAAAGCTTGAATCGCGCTTAAAGACAGGGCCGCAGTCTCCTTATATACATAAAAAATCGTATTAACTTTGGTTGTATTGTCAGGTGTCTATCAGTGTAGTAGTCTAAAAGTCTGAGAGTTACACTTAGCTTAGACGAGGTACTTGAAGCTTTAGGACATTTATCCTAAGTGATGAAAAGAATTAGGCAATTTAGCCTAAGCTTAGGGGATTCTTTACTGGGTTTATTTTGACATCCTCTACTAGAGTCTTTTGTTTCTTGCTCCTGAGATGCTGCAGCCTAAAGGTAACCTTACTGAATAAATGTATTCGAGACTTCAGCCTAGCCAGAGACTTTATTGTTGATAATTCTGTGGCATTGGAATACCTGAATCCCACTTATTGGTCGCTACTGGGTTAAAGCAATATAATGTTTTCTTGCTCCTCGGGGATGATTCAAGCAAAAGTTATTCTCCGTTTGCCCCAGGGCTGTGGCCAAAGACTGAAGCTTTCACTGGTAAACAGACATCGAGCCAAGTCTATGATGAAGCATCAAAATCCAGTGTCCATATTCAAATAAGGATAGATTTACGACTAAGTTCATAAGTAACGTATTCGAATTCAGGTATCGCTGCTAAACTGGGAGGTTGCAGCCAGCCAAATATTTGACCAAGTAAAGTGCTGGATAAACAGGGCAATTTTCTTAAACTTACAAAACCATGCTAGAAACTTTGGCATGTGAGTTATAGACCGGCCACAGGAGGATGCTTCTTGATATCCAGAAGTGAATACTCTTGTGAGTTAACTGTACCATCGAGTACAGAGCTGGGTGTGGCATTATGTCTGGCAACGGAGAAAGCATAATCCGACTGTAAGTCAAGCCTCACAGCCAGTCACATACTCTCGATAAGAAGCCACTTGGCAGGGGTCTACTGATAAGCTTGCTACTGTCCCAAAAAGTGTAGCACTTGATAACACGCTGGTGTTTCGAGGTTCAGGCGACTTTCCTTTGTTCGTTCTTTATCAAGTTCAACTCACCCTCCTTAGTCCCTCGCAACATCTCGAGGTCTGTCCTTCTTTACCACTCAAGGTCGGAAGTTTAAGTTTGTTTTATATAAAGTCTCTTTCTATCTTTTCTTTTTCTTTTTTATATCTGCAGGAAGAGAGACAAGATGTTATTCCATACAGCGGCCCTCGTGGTCCTTCTAGCTCTGGTCCAGCTAGCTGTATGCGCCCAGGACTATTACAAGGTACAACAACTCCCATATGCCACAAGTATGCATATTCTGACAGTTATGCAGGTTCTCGGTGTAAGCAGGCAAGCAGGGAAGAAGGAATTAAAGCAGGCATATCGTCAATTGTCGAAGAAGTTCCATCCAGACAAGAATCCGTATGCCCCTCCATCCACCCTCGGCTTGATTTCTAATACTGACCTTTTCCAGTGGCGATGACACCGCACACGATAAGTTTGTGGAGGTTTCCGAAGCCTACGATGTCTTGAGCGATGAGGAAATGCGCAAAGTTTACGACCAATATGGCCACGAGGGTGTTCAACAGCGCCGCCAAGGAGGTGGAGGAGGTGGTGGCCATGATCCCTTCGATCTCTTCAGCCGCTTCTTCGGTGGGCACGGCCATTTCGGACGAGCATCCAGCGAACCCCGAGGACACAATGTCGAAGTCCGTGTCGAAATCTCCCTCCGCGACTTTTATAACGGCGCCACCACCGAGTTCTCCTGGCAGAAGCAACATATCTGTGAAGCCTGCGAAGGCACTGGAAGTGCAGATGGACAAGTCGATACCTGCCATACGTGCGGCGGCCATGGTGTACGCATCGTCAAGCGCCAGCTCGCTCCTGGAATGTTTCAACAGTTTCAGCAAAGATGCGATGCTTGTGGCGGTAGGGGCAAGAACATCAAGCACAAGTGCAAGGTCTGCCAGGGTGAACGGGTGGAGAGGAAGGCGACGACTGTTCAACTCAACGTCCAGCGTGGAGCTGCTCGCGACTCCCGCGTTGTCTACGAGAACGAAGCTGATGAGAGTCCCGATTGGGTCCCTGGCGACTTGCTGGTGACATTATCTGAGAGGGCTCCATCATATGACAACAACCCCGATAAGACCGATGGCGCATTCTTCCGTCGCAAGGGTAATGATTTGTACTGGACCGAGGTTCTCTCTCTTCGGGAAGCCTGGATGGGCGGCTGGACTCGCAACCTCACTCATCTCGATAACCACGTCGTGCGGCTAAGTCGACCCCGCGGTAAGGTCATCCAGCCAGGCCATATCGAGACTGTCGCTGGAGAAGGTATGCCCATCTGGCACGAGGATGGCGACAGCGTGTACCACAAGACCGAGTTCGGAAACCTATACGTCGAGTACGCAGTCGTGCTACCCGATCAGATGGACTCCAACATGGAAAGCGATTTCTGGAGCCTCTGGGAGAAGTGGCGACTCAAGAGCGGCGTCGATTTACATAAAGACAGCGGGCGACCAGAGCCAGTGCACACTAGAGACGAGTTATGATGAGTAAAAGGTGATTGGCGTCGAGGATGAGGAGTTAGTTGTATGATTTATAAGAAGGGGGGCTATATGATATGTATTAGTGTCGATACGAAAGGATACCAATGGCATGTTTCAGAATATTATAGACGTTATGGAAGTGGCTTTTAAGGTATCGGTTACAAGATGCTTAAGGCTGTTGGTGTGAGATCCAGGAACCGGAACAAAACCTCCAGTTACTGACAACGGTAAAGATGTGCCCCACAGAATGTAACCTCGACTTACAAGGAACCACCCAGAACAATCCAACGCTCTCACAGTATTCACAACCTCATATCATTCAATCACATACCTAAAGGGACCAATCCTCCAATCGACTAGATCTCGAAGCTTAAGCGAAACTTCTACAACATCCTTGTCCTGACTAATGTGGCTTAGACCTCTCCATAAATGAAGCCATCACAGCCTAACAGCAGCGCCCATCAGATAGCTATATAAATCTCAATGCAATCAATCACATCTCGCCTTTTTCTTCTTTTTCCTCTCTTTCCCTTTTTCTTCTTCTTCTTCTTCACTCCTTAACAATCATGCCAGTAAACACTCCTTAGAACATGTCAAGTTCAGACTCAACCACCACAAACACTCCTGGTGACAGCACCCCCAGCACGTCGACCCCAGACGTGATAGAAGTTCCCCGCTCAGACCTTGTCACAGTCAAAGACACGGACTATCACACGGACAAGTATCTTATCCTCTGCGGGAAATGTGGCGGCGTCTTGAACGTCGCTAAATACAGCTGCATGTGCGAGCATGGTTCTGATGTTGCTCGCGCTGCTTGATTGGTTTATAATACCCCGATGTCTGCCAAAGACGTGGGTTACATCTAAGGAGACGATTCTTGCGAAACCAGCAAGCGATATGCATACACATACGTTACTTTCAAAACAAGATGCCTGTCTCATCTACCATTCGTCCCATTTCGAGCGAGGTAATACAAAGGATCGAGCTTCAGCTCTCCTACAAACTCCACTCTAAATAATACATCAAAAACTCACACTTCAGTCACAAGCAATACTCAATCAACATTGCTATACAGCTGCAGTGCGGCTCCATCATCGCGTCTTCGTATAAAGTGTCACCTTTCGCAGGGCATGTAGAGGTTTGCAATTTGGAAAGTTTAGAGACAAACACACATAGACGGAATGGGGACATCATATAAAAGGACATCAAACCGTGTTTCTCTATATCGGCCGTAATGTATAATAGTCATAACATCGTATCATAAAGCTCAACTGGAAAAGCAGACCATTAATCATATCCTCCCAAAGAAATCGTTCCCAAAATCACAGTCGTCACGTCGTTAGTCTCTGTGCCTCTTTCTGCGTCTTCTTCTTTCGTGACCTCCATCTTCAATAGCATCCCGTTGTTCCGGTTCTTGAAGTCCTCCAAGAATATTCCCAATTAGACCAAGCCATCCGCTTTTGCCTTCAAGTGCTCCAGTGACACCACGAACAAGCTGATCCACAGCTTGACTATCCGTCCCAGCTACTTGCCAAGCTCCTTTGACGTCCCAATCATCCCGATGTCTGGGTTTATACTGAAAATCACCTTGTCTGCGTGTCCAACCACGACTCCTACTCGACCGTCCATCCAGGGGCCTACCCTGTCTGTCAAATCGGTCAGGTAGTTCTTCTACAGACTCATCCGAGCTGGAGTCATCATCTCGGTGACGACGTCTCCGTCCAAAGTAGTCATCCATTTCCATAGCAGGAGGAGTAGACTTTGAACGTGGCCTAGCATGTACCAGACCCTGAAGTATGTCATGAGCCTCTTGCTCCTGTCTCTCCTTTTCTTCTTTGGCTGCTGTCTCCTCGCGGTGCCGCCTCATGGTCATAGAGCTCTTCGGTGACAAAGGGCCAAACACTACCGACTTGGCCGGTTGGCCCTCATCAGACGAGTCTAGACTAACTGTTGTAGAGTCAGCTTCCGTTTCTTCTCCTGTGCCAACAACCCTCCCTTTACGGTCGGACGCACCCTCATCAAGGCCTCTTGAGCCAAGGTTGTGGACAGGATTACTCACATTGTCAGGCGCTCTTGGACCGCCAGCCGGTGGAGGTCCCGGAGGTCCTGGAGGGGGCGGTGGTGGCCCAGGAGGTCCTGGCGGTGGGTAGTTGGCGGGTCCTGTGGAAAGTCCTCGAGGAGGTCCAGGAGGCGGCGGGGGATAGCCCGTATAGTCTTGAGGAACGTACGGCTGGAAGTCAGCAGAGCGGTCCGGAATATTGGTGTAAGGATTTCCAGGTGGAGGAGTAGGGTCCATAGGATAAGGTGGGAAGCCAGCGCCACCAGAAGCCATAGGTGGTGAGCGTGAGCGAGGGCGACGATCATCATAGTCATCGAATCCTATTTCATAGTGGTCAGTCAACACAGTCACGGTCACTCAAGGACTGCTCACGTTTCCTGGAACGACTTCGAGATCGGGTTCGCGAAGGAGATCTGGTAGCTCGACCACGACGGTCTCGCTCATCTTCCCGCTCGCGTTCTCGTTCAAGTTCGAGTCGTCGTTCCCTAGAGCGCTGCTCTCTCTTCTCCCTGTCCTTCTTGTCCTTGTATTCCTTGATGCCAAGGGCTGCAGCTCCTGCGGCTGCGGCGGCCCCGAGTCGGCTTCTGCTGCGTTTACGGTTATTGTCAGATCCCGCAGACGACGCGGATCGACTACGGTCGCGTCGTCTACGGCGTCGACGTCTTGCCTCCGCTTCGGATTCGTAGCCTCGCGACGTTGAGGCCGGCGGTTGCGTCGCGAGGGGATCGGTGCCGTATTCAACTACGGGGCCTAGCTCAGGATCAGTCCCGCGCTCTGAACGAATGGATCTGGCCTTGGACCTGCTCCTGCTCCGGCTTCTCGAGGGGCCTCGGCGGTAGTACTCATCATCGCTGCTACTGTCACTGCCATCCTTCTTTTCCTTGCGCTTCTTCCAAACGTGGTGCGCAGCCTTGGCTGCTACAGCGGCACCAGCGATCTCGGCACCGCGGCGAAGTCTAGACTTGCTGCGGCTCCTTGATCGGCTGCGGCTGCGCGAGCTGCTCGACCTACTGCTGCTGCGGCCGCGTGATGACTTGGACCTATTGCGAATGTGCTTGGCAATACCTGCAGCAGCAACAGTTCCCAGAGCTGCCTTGGCTGCCGTCGACAAACTACGACGACGGCTACCGCGGCTAGTGCTCTTTGTCGTCGTGGTTTTTCGAATGATGGATCGCGAACGAGAGCGCGAGTAGTCATCAGAGTAATAACCACGACGGCGGCTTCTACCTCGAATCGCCTCCTCCTTTTCAATCTTATTTGACTGGTAGTATTTGGCGGCACCAGCAGCAGCTAGAGCAACAGCAGCGATTCCGAGACCCTGCTTAAGTCGAGAGGAGCGGTCGGGAGAATCATCGTCGCCATGCCAGCGATCGCCATAAGCACTACGAGCTCGGCGCAAGGCCTCGGTACCAAGAGCGCCAAGAGCAGCTCCAGCAATGACCTTGCGGCCACGGTTCTCAGGCAGTTCACCGTAGCTGTCGCGGCGACTGTTGAGAAGAGCTGTGACACCCGCACCAGCAAGAGCGCCTTCAGCCAAGTGTCGCTTATGGTGGGGACTTTCGCTGCCTTCGCGGCGACGAATAACCTTGCGCCGGACGTAATAATCATCGTCATCACTGTGGTAGCCGTGATCACGACGTCTGCGGTCATATCGCTCAATGGCGTAGTCGCGGTCTCCACGGGAGTCGCGGTGCTCGTGGCGATAGTAGTACTCCTCCTCCGAAGGGCGATGTCGGTGCTCGTGTCGATGCTCTCGATGCTCCCTTCTAACTACAACCTGTTGTCTTTCAGGCTCTCTCTCACGAATGACAACTACACCAGGCTGCTGTTGCTGGCGAGGAGAAACGATGACTGGAGCCGGGGGAGGAGCTTCTTGAACAATGATCTTCTGTGGTTCAGGCGCGCGCTGTCGAATAATGACGGGAGCTGGAGGAGGCGGTGGGTCGTAAGGGGTGTAGTATTCCGTCTCCTTGCGGTATCGCTCAACGTCGCATCCATGGGTATCATCGATGTGTTCCTCAACACGCTTCTCAACGCGGTATTCACCGTTATCTCGGCGTTCAGTCCTGACCATTTGGTTCTCAACCTTGACGTCCTCGTCGAACAAAGCGTCAAAGCGAGATCGTCGGTCCCAGTCACGCTCAACTTCCTTGGTCTCTACGAAAGCTGGCGCACGAGATCGATCTCCGACCTGCGAAGGCGCTTGCATTGGCATAGGCGGGGGCGGCGGAGGATAAGTCTCTCGTTCAGTTTCCTTTTCGTAAACGTAAGATCGAGGAGCCGTGTCTCGCCCACGATCCTCATGAAAACTAGCATGGGAGGGAGCTCCTTCAAAGGCAGAGCGAGGGCGATCCGGGACGAAAGAGCGTCGGTCGTGCTCAGCTAAGTCGCCAGAAGAGCGACCATAGCGGGAGAAATGGGAACGTCCATCATCAAATTCGGAACCTCGTTCGAAGCGATCAGACCTGCTTGGTGCGACCTTGTATCGTCTGATTGTGGTTTTGCGATAGCGCTCGTCGTCTGAAGAGCCATCGTCTCGCTCCCAGTCCCTCTCGCGATAGACGCGAGACTCTCTGTAGACGTCACCCATCGCGGGGTGTGACAAGTGGGGTATAAGGCTGTGCGATAGAGTTATGAGGATCCAAAAGAGGGAATGTCGTCAAAAATGGAAGTAAATCCAAAGGTTTAGTATAGAGAACGCCCAACGGGAAATCAACAGCGAAATCTAGATTTGTTTGCTTGCTTGTATGTTTGTATGAGAAAGAAGGGGACGGGAGAGAAGTGGTTTGGTGGGGGGGGAAAAAGCTGGGAAGTAACCAAGATGAGCTATGACGGAACCTGCTGAGAGAGAGAGAGAAGAAAGGAACTGGGCATCCCGGAATGAATGAATGGCTGGGCTTTGATTCTGATTCATCCAGGCGCAGTTAGCGTGGGCATGGGCATGGGCATGGACATCAGTGCCCGGCTCCAGCGTGTGAGTGTGCGTGGAGCCCTTAAACTTCAGTGGACGGCTTTTTCTGACAGGGGTTGGGAGTGAAAGCCTGCCTGCTGTGGCTATGATGGAAGATGATGCTGCTTGTGCAGTAGAGCATGGCACGGGATTGGGCGAGATATCGTGATGGGTGGCAGAAGGTCTCTTGTTCTGCCCGGCTGATGCTGGGCGTTCTGAGACCGAAGCCAATCAGGTCTTTGGTAGAGTCAACTTCAATGCAACCTCAGATAGAATCTGTAGTCTTGGGGAGAAGAGAATGGTTCTTTTCTGGGTTATCTCGGGCAGTTTCTTGATCAACTGTTAGGGATCGTTTATGCCCGAAATACGATTCCAAGATCCACAGATGATACCAAGAATATCGAGTCCTAGCAGTCCAGTCCAGTCCAGTTGAGTTGGGCACAGAGCCTCACCAAACGCATTGACTCAAACTGCAAACAAGCATCCAATATCTATAGTAGTACCCAATTGCCGAATGCACTCTTTGTCCCGTCTCTTTCAACCCTTGTTACACGAAACGGTTCATGTAAACGCCCGTCTCGAGTTGAACAGATCCAGGCCTATCCCGCCCTGTCTCTTGTCTCAATTAAATAAACCCAACAAACTTGAAAAGTCAAAAGACAAAGAAAGACCAAACTCGCACGGGGCCACCCTCCATCTCGGTCGGGATCTAAAGAGCCCACCTCAATCAAACCAAGGCCCAGTTCTTCATCGACAGGGACATTTCCTAGAGCTCGAGGAATGAAAGGAATGAGGCGACGAAGCTTTCCATTTGCCTACCACCTTAGTAGAGACTGGACGTGCCGAACCGTGAACCTTGGTCGATCTCGTGCGAATCAATAGGCTCGAGCATGAGCATGCATCATCATGAACAAGCTACATACATATGAGTCCAGTCCAGGTCTGTCTCCACTCGAACTGGGCTGTCGCTGGTGTCGTCATAGGCTTCTAATGGAAGAACCCCACCTCTTTAAACCCTTGACCCGTCAACGATCAACATCTTGGTTTTTATTCTTAGTTAACAGCGGAGTCACCTCACCTCAGCCCAGGTCCATCATATTATTAACAATAATAAAAAAGAAAGTAATGAAAGGACAAATCATCAGGAGAGACATTTCCGGAGTCATCAGGCTCCGCTTTCAAGGTCAATTGATTACGCGGTCTCTTGAGGTTTGAGTCACCAGACTCTCTTTGTTGAGACCACATGCACAATCAGATGCTGACAGCCTTATTCCACGCACTACCATCGTCGAGAAGGGTCTCCGTCTGATGGCCTTTTCCGTAGTTCCGTGGTGTTCTCATGACTGGAATGTTCCATGCTTCTGTCTTTTCCCATATCAGTTTGGCGGCGTTTTCAATACAGCCATCATAAGAAATCGGGCAAAGCACTTTAACTCCAGGGGTGGGCAATAAAAGGATTGGTTCTTTGTTGCAGAGAAGAGGCGTTTGGCTTTGCGCTCTCTAAGCCACATTCAAGAATGCATCCTTGCTACGAGCAGACGAATTATCGCCGAGTGCTTTACAGGGTAGTCGACCAGAACATCTCGGCAAATTCACGAATATTGGCTGCTGCTTTATGCAAATCTGTTGTCAATTCTCTTATGCTAAACCCGAATTCCCATGTTTTAACCTAAACTCCACAAATCAGTTGTATATAACCCCAAGCCATAACTCCTTCTGCTTGGCTCTCCAGCAGCGCTATATGCTACATGCTTGTATTCTTCATCAATCCACCTACTCATCAAAGCCCTCCTTGGTTCCCAACACTCCAACACCACCGTTGCTGCGTCGTCGCCGACCGATCACCTCGTGGATCCAATCACTGATGGTGAACCCCCAGTGTCCGGCAACGAGGACACCGCTCATGATGTTGATGATCTTGACCAACAGGCTGATGATACCGTCGCGGCTCTCGTGAACGGTCAACAGGATTGGCTCGATATCGTACTTGAAGAAAATACCAGGGATATATCGCTCGTCGACCGCCTTGCTCTGCTCGGTGACGGCATATTGGTTGGTAAGGATGGACTTTGAGTTGACGCTGTACACGGTAGGCACAACAGAGAGGTAGTATTGGAACTTGTGGAAGTTACCAGGAGCTGTGTTGACGGTGCCGTCGAGAGGGTTGACCAGCGACGGGTAGAATGGGCCATACGAAAGCTCCGAAATGATATGCGAGAAGTTGAACTCTGTAACCTGGTTAGCACGTGATGTGGACTACAAGTCGTCCGACTTACTGCTGTGGTCGAGATGCTCGCCATTACCCCTATAACCATGGCCTCGCGCAGTGATATGGAAATCACCCTGCACCTTGTTCAAGTCCAAACTTCCATAGATACGACAGCTGTCGGCATTGCCCCTGAACTTGGGTGTCTTTGCCCACTTGGCCCTCTTTTTGCCAAGCGCAACGATATCGTGAACATGCTCCTCGCCGAAACCCTCATCCTCGTATCCCAACTCATTGTATCCAGAGCCAGTGTTGACGCGGCCCTGACTATCCCGCCCGAGCTTGTGCATGCCCTTGTTGTCGACCCATTGGCTCCAGAGGGTCCTGTCGGCTTTGAGACGCTTAGCAGCTAGGATATGATCGCCAGACGCATCCTGGACATTGACATGGATATCGTCGCAGTTCATCTTCACCACGATGTCCATGTTGATCTGAAGCTCTCGCGAAACACCAGCCTCGACTTCGAAGTTGTGAGACTCTGCGCCGCGCCACCAGCGACCGAGTTCGCCCCAGATGAGGACAATTGAGATGATGGACACGGCGACTGTCCATTTTCCACCTCCCGATGTTCGCTGGATGTATTGCGGCTTCGATTTGGCTGTCGAAAGTTAGCGCACATAATCTCAGCAGTAACGAGAGACATACGGAATGCATCGAAAGCGCTGACCAAACTTCCCTCCTTAGGACCAAACCTGTCCTCGTCATAATCCGGCTTTTCCATTCCGTTCATCATCTTTGCTAAAGTCTTCTAGTCCCGCTAGGCCAAGTCGAATATATACAATGAAAGCTGTTTCGATGTTGCGACGTCGCGAAATCGGTCCTGTCGCAAATTATGGTCGAGAGCCGCTTGATCGACAGCAAAGGCGCAAAGGAGTTTGAGCCTATTGCCGCATGCCTCGGTGAAATAACGGTCGAAGGACTGGAAACCAATTGGAACCGGTTTCAGTGGTCTTGGAAAGTTTGTTCGAAAGTTGACCGGGAATTTGTTGGTGAACGAAATTGGGAATTCTCGATGTCGTCGCTTCGTTGCGCTGACAGCCGCAATCAGAAAGGACAGCTATCTGTAACTAAACTCATCCCCCTGAAGCAGCGTCGTCAGGGTCCAGTCGCTGATTGGTGGGCAAAGCCAAGATGGGATAAAGTGTCGCCGAACCGAGCTTGTTCCTGAATCGAGGTCGGCCTTAAAGCGGGTTTGCTCGAGTAGCGGTTCCACTTCAAGCACAAATGGCGACATCACTGCGTCTATTCGAAGCCTCCTAGCTTAAGACCGTCAATTCTCATGATAACACATGCTACTAGTGATCATCTATAGTGAGGCTGGTAGGGGGTAGCTCTGAGATATCAGCTAGGATAACGGCTGCATCGAGCATCATCACAAACCGCACCTATATTTCGATTTCAAGTATGAGATTTCAAACGAACAAAAGAAGATATAAGCCCGTGACTCATACTCGAGGATTGATATTTTCTTGAAATTTGCCACAAGATTATGTCTAAACTGCTTTGGATTAGGGGCATGATGACGGTTAGAGTTGAACAGACATTCCCCTTGCCAATGCTTGTTTCTCATTGCTGAGGCCGGAACGGAGACCATCCCTTAAACTTGGCAGAATTGAATTTAGAAAATATTCACCTTTATTTCATTCAAGACGATTCAACTGCATATATCGGACCACGTGTGGAGGTGTTTATCGAAGGTATGTTTTCGGGCGACGGGCTCTGATATGTCGATTGGGGGAAGTGTAAGTCACCAAATTGGGCTTCGAATTAATAAAGCCAGCTGTCATGGCAAATAAATGTTTGGGTATTTCATAGAACCTATTGTGACATTTCAGGCCGCTCAATTGTGATGTGTTTCAGACCATAAAGATTCAATAGAGAAATACTCGACAGAGTTACAAGCGCTGACGGCAAGATGATCTTTCTCAGTCATTTTTAGAACGAAAATCCATGCTTGAAATTGTAGGGAGATACCATTTCTACACGAGAGATCCAGTATTCCGGAATCAAGCTCATACCTATGCTGTACTTCGTCAGAAATTGCTAAACGATAGGGGCTGCGCCGTCTTGACTATTCTGAGTCTTTGGAATTGTTTAGACACCGATACACGAATATTCAAATAGTCCTCTATGATAATGATCCTGCTTGAGAAATATCAATCCCTTAATTGTCCTGTTTACGACAATACTCATCAAGTGTAGGAGTACGGTGGAATAGAAATTTTGGGAGCGAAATGCCATAATGTTTCGTCACAATCACCATGCTTACCAACTGAAAGAGGCAAAGCATTACAGGAAGCACCACTAACAGAAGCCTGCTCGGTCCGGCTGTATTTCGACAAAGTCGATCATCTCAGCACTGTTGAATGAATAGAATACTGGGTCCGTCATCCATTTTCTGGGGTATTTTCAAGGGCAGAGTTGGTTCGGACCAGTTCCCCACCATCTCGATCCTCCGAGATAAAGTAAATGGAGAATATGGAGAAGTAGATGGGTCGAGCGTTGGTGTGCATGGATGTAGATTGCTTAAATCAAGCTCACATGTTTAGATACCTATGGTTTCAACTGTAGTTGAAGCCTGTTAAACCCGATCAACGGGAATACGAATCACGTGCTCCCCTACCTGAAGTCAATCATCTCGGCGCCGAGACGGGAGACCACGCGAACGACAACGGGACAGGGTAAACTTGGCATCTGGACATCTTGGCATACCAGACCCTGGGTCGCGAATGGGAAAAGTGTGCCGATAAGCGCCTTGGCATTGAACAAAGATATTGACGACATGTTTTGTGTTTGAAGCATTAACGACACCAAAAATGCGCTGAAGGAAGAGGAAAATAGCATGGAGATGAGCATTTAGCAGAGGCAAATAACAGCGTCAATTAGGTTTTCGGCAGAAGCGAAAGAAATGGGTGAATCGGGGCGGAATAAGCTTGCAGGGCGGGCTCCTCCATTCAGGCAAGGCACGGCAAGTCTGGATTCCAGGGCTGGCGTCGTACGTTGGTTGTAATGGAGACCATTCTTTGCAACGGCGTAAACCTTCCAGAACCCAACGGTCAATCTGTCAACAGTTGAATGCAACAATTGAGGACATACGGTATTCGTCGTACAGAGTAAAGAGAGCGTATACGGTCGAGCAACTGCGCTGAAGCTGCAGTGCAAGATCAAAACAAGAACGAACCATCCATCAGCTCAAACCATTCCCCAACCCCTGATTGCTTCGTATCAATGCGTAATCATGCTGCCCGCCCACCCATCGCAGCAAAAATAGGTACCTGACGCCGCTAATGTGACGGTTTTCCGGGTCTCGCTCACTCCGTTTGAGCCACTCAACAGCTCGTGTCACCCTCCTTCTTCGCGATCCACCGTCAATCTCATTGGTTCGAGCCTCTTGTTTCTCCCTCCCTCTCTCGCTCCCTTTTAATTGCATTGCGCTCTTCTGCATGTACCTTACCTTGCGGCAAGTACCTATTCCTACTAACGCTCGCATTAACCCCCGTCGCCGGTTTCCATTTCTTTTCCTTGGCACTTTGACTTCTTCAACAACATCGATTCATCGCAGACTTTACGTCGACCGTTTGTCGTTTTAGCCCGTCAGATCGACTCACACTCTTTGACTGCTCGGTCTGTTTTTCGATAAATTTCACAGCTTTATCGACATTTCGACCAAGCCCTCACTGGGCGCGTCTACCGCTCGTTCCCGTCGATTTCCATCGCTCGCTCTCAATTTCGCTCGCTTCATTTCACTCACATTCGCCCACGATGAAGTCCGTTTTTTCAGCCGGCGCCGTTGCGCTTTTGGCCTCAACGGGTTTCGTTAATGCCCAGTCACCTTATAGCATTGCATCCACAGGTGCGGTCCCTACAACGGTTGGCTCGGAAGTAAACAGACATTGACTTTAGCAACAGCCGACATCAAGAAGTCAGCCAAGCAACTCGCTGCTGACTTGATCACATACTACCACGGAGACGACCCTGGCGGTATTCCTGGTATTCTACCTGGTCCTCCCCCCAATGGCGACTACTACTGGTGGGAAGGTGGTGCTATGTGGGGGACGTATATGGATTACTGGAAGTGCACCGGCGATTCTACCTACAACAAAGTGGTGATGCAGGCCATGCAGTTCCAAGTCGGCGATGATCAGGACTACCAACCTGCCAACGTCACTCTGTCCCTCGGAAACGACGATCAAGGTTTCTGGGGAATGTCTGCCATGCTGGCTGCCGAGCTGGACTTCCCCAACCCTGCTTCAGACCAGCCTGGATGGCTTGCCCTCGCCCAGGCCGTTTTCAACACTCAGGCCAATCCCGATAGACATGACAGCACTTGCAACGGTGGTCTTCGATGGCAAATCCCTCGAACTAACAACGGATACGATTACAAAAATAGTCAGCGCTTCTCTTGAGATATTTACCTTGATCGATCCTGTACTAACTTGTCAAAGGTATTGCTAATGGTTGCTTCTTCAACCTGGGTGCCCGACTTGCTCGCTACACTGGTAACAAGACTTATTCCGACTGGGCTGAGAAGACCTGGGACTGGATTGAGGGCGTCGGTTTCCTTGACCCTACCACTTATAAGATTTATGACGGTGCTCATGTCGGAACTAACTGTACCGATATCAACAAGGCTCAGTTCTCTTATAACTCTGGCGTCTTCCTCCAAGGCGCTGCTTTCATGTACAACCATGTAAGTTGGCCAAGCATGAATCTGATGACAATCCACTAACTTCTTCAGACCAATGGTTCGCAGAAATGGGAGGAACGTTTGGATAAATTGGTCGACGCTACCATCAGCAACTTCTTCCCCAAGGATATCGCTGTCGAGATTGCCTGCGAGAACCACGGCACCTGCACCACCGATATGTACTCATTCAAGGGCTACGTCCACCGCTGGATGTCTCAGGCAACACATCTCGCTCCCTTTATCAAGCCAAAGATCCTTCCTGTTCTCCAGACATCAACCGAAGCTGCTATCAAGCAATGTACTGGAGGAGACACGAAGCGTGCTTGTGGCTTCAAGTGGGCCAGCGGTGTCTATGATGGCAAGACAGGTGCCGGCCAGCAGATGAACGTCCTTGCTGCCGTTTCGTCTCTGCTCATGGAGAACACTCCTCCTCCTGTCACGGCCAAGACTGGAGGTACCTCCAAGGGTAACCCCAACGCCGGCAATGTCGGAGACGGCAAGATTGATAGGACCTACAAGCCCTTGACCACTGCGGATAGGGCTGGTGCTGGTATCATCACTTTCTTGGTTCTGTCCTTTGCATGCGGAATCTTTGGCTGGATGAGCATGGGCAAATAGAGGATCTTTCTCGATTTCTGAATATGCCGAAAGACGAAGTCCGGCATGCACAATTGTGCTTCTTTTGCAGCCTTGTATTTGGAATCTGAAGAAATGATCTCTGGGGCGTTGGATGGAGTATACTTGACCTAAATAGCCTGGTAGGCTGGATATCTATTCTCTAAATGTTATAATGTTTTACCATTTACTCTGTACCCTGCAACTAGTGAGAACATCCACACAATTCTACTAATGTTCAAAGGCCCAGACACTTTGCTATACAACTAGCGAGTGACACAAGCACATCAACAACACAGTCTAATTGACCAAATTGAGCATTTACCGAAATGTTAATGGGTTTTCGTCGTGACCACGCAAGTCTAATTTGAGAAGCTGCGTCATACTCAGAAAATTGATATTACAGCACGATAGAGTTTGTTGCCAACTTG